GCAACAGCTTCTGACTTTTCCCGTTGTAGTTAAATCGTTTTATTTGCTATTTAGAGCAATGGGGAAAAATGTATTTTATTTTTATACATACGTATTTCAAGTAAGCCACAATTTCATGATTTTTCTTTTTAAGCTTGTGGCTATTTCTGTTATCTATTTCTATTTTGGCTACATTTGGGCTAGCTCCATATTTTCTTGTCTGAAGATCTGTAGTCTCATGATCGTTAAGAACCAAGCGATAGGGTGCAAAAAGAATAATATTTTAATCAATTAATTAATTATCGTTTTTCTTGTTCTTTTTTGTGTGAAAATAAGGTGAACCTGGGACATTTACTCAGATGGAGAGCTTTTTATTTTAGCCTGCACCACAAATGATTTTGTCACAGAAGCTTTAAGTCCACGACTGCAATGTCCAGTAAACTGCGGCCAGAAAACTTGTAGAGGTCAACGTATGGTCTTCACATGTTCCTTGAAATGCTCTGATCACAGCAGCTCATCTATCAACTGTCCTCATGCTGCTGAGTCTGTTGACAGGCCTCAGAAGAAATGTTGGCCTCTGTTGACGAGTCCAGCAGGAGAGCGCCTACATGTGTTTCTCTCACTCAGAGACAGTGATCAGAGGATGGATTAGCAGCGGTGATCTCAGAGCCTCGATTCGTCCCTGTGAGATGAGTCAGTGTTAAACAACAAAGTCAGATGCAAAAACACACTGTGCTCTGTGTGATAGACAGATAGATAGATAGATAGATAGATAGATAGACAGACAGACAGACAGACAGATAGACAGATAGACCTGATGATCAGACCTGCGGTGAACCAATTAATTAATGATTAATGTAATGATCATTGCAGAAAATGGTAAAGCATTTCAGGTATTTTCCACTGGCTGCAAATTATTTTAATCTAACAATCCATTTAGCCAACATTCTTGTTTTCTTATTTTAAACAAATATTCCATCAACACCAACTTCTTTAATAGCACTTTTTATATAAACCTAAGGTTTTGACTTTGTGATACTCGCTCATGTAATGAGTACTTTGCACCTGTGGCTTAACATTAATGTCAATCTTAACCAGGATGGTTAGCTTAGGTGATGATATGACTTGTTTACTTCAGTGTCTATTAGCTGTTGTTGTTTGGAGCTGTTGCCAGCAACACTGTCTTTTTTTTTCTTTTTTTTTCTTTTCGTCTGAAGATCTGTAGTCTCTTCATCGTTAAGAACCAAGCGATAGGGTGCAAAAAGAATAATATTTTAATCAATTAATTAATTATCGTTTTTCTTGTTCTTTTTTGTGTGAAAATAAGGTGAACCTGGGACATTTACTCAGATGGAGAGTTTTTTATTTTAGCCTGCACCACAAATGATTTTGTCACAGAAGCTTTAAGTCCACGACTGCAATGTCCAGTAAACTGTGGCCAGAAAACTTGTAGGGGTCAACGTATGGTCTTCACATGTTCCTTGAAATGCTCTGATCACAGCAGCTCATCTATCAACTGTCCTCATGCTGCTGAGTCTGTGGACAGGCCTCAGAAGAAATGTTGGCCTCTGTTGACGAGTCCAGCAGGAGAGCGCCTACATGTGTTTCTCTCACTCAGAGACAGTGATCAGAGGATGGATTAGCAGCGGTGATCTCAGAGCCTCGATTCGTCCCTGTGAGATGAGTCAGTGTTAAACAACAAAGACAGATGCAAAAACACACTGTGCTCTGTGTGATAGATAGACAATTATTTATAGTAGGAGAAGTTTTCTGCTTCACTTTCACTACTTCTGTTTCCAGAGCTGTCCTTATTCTGACCTTGAAATCCGATTGCACATTACTCACATGACAGAATCACTGACTGCGACTCTGTGGACCTCAACACCAGAGTCGATCTGCAGAGATTCACGAATCCCACTTCTGCTCCGGACATGAGCAACAGTCCTGAGAGGAGAGGAATTAAAACTGAGACGGAGAAAAGTAAATGGAGAGAGTGGGCCTCAGAAACAGAGTGAGAGAGTTGTCCCATGAGGCCGGGACAGCTGACAGCTGGGTTCAGTGTGGGTCAGAGGTCACAGATTGGCAGCAGTGGGGGAGTAAAGTGGAATCTAAAACAACAGGAAGACACACACACACACGCACATACACTTTTTAGGAGTGGGGATGAGTCTGGGCCTCTCTAATGTGATAGTTGAACAAAATTTCATCAATGTAGGGTTGAACACCCCTCCCATGCCCCTGAGCTTTCATTGTGTGCTTGTGTGTGTGTGTGTGTTTGTGCTATGTCCCTTATCTTTTCACTACAACCTGGGGTCGTGCCTTGTGGAGCGACTGTTACTGTTTATATGAAGCTGAATTGTTTATTTTTTGTCAAATTTGTGGAATTTGTTGTTTCAGTATCAACACACACACAGACAATGTTCAGTTCACCTACAAGAAAACAGTCAAACTAAATTAGTATTTATTGCTGAAGATCTTACGGTGATGTGATTGCAGTTTAATTCTTAGATGACAACATCAGTGTACAGATTTTTAAAAATCTCTTATAAATAAATGTACTTGTTATTAGTGGTGCTTTGGCTCAGAAGCAATGTCTCTGTCATTGGTGTGGAACCCCAGGGTTCATCTCCTGGGCAAGTTCGAATCCCGGTTAGGGCAGTTGGTACCTTGGTACCGGAGGACTCACCACTCACAGGACTGTTCAGTCTGACTGCTGCCCCCGCGACCCAGTAACGGATAAGCGGATGAAAATGGATGGATGGATGGATACGTCTTATTTAATGTTCACCAATCCCAAATGGAATTCTTCCGTTTTAGAACACTAACATTTACTTTAAGTCTAAGAGTGTGACTCAAAATCGCATACTTACCTTGACATCAGAATCTCTTTACATCATATGAGGTGCTTTGCTGCCCCCTAGTGTCCGAGTCCCTTGTTTACAAAGGATTTGGTGAAAGTAATGAAGTGACGATAACAGAGAACATGGGTTTATGCGTCAAAATGTATTTGATATAAATTGTTTTAAAAACTTTGCCATTTGTGACATTAGTGGTCCATTTTGGTTTTGATGTTATTACATCACGTATCTTAACATTACCACGCTGCACCAAAACACCAACTTTTTTCAGGGTCACAGGATGACCTGGAGCCAATCCCAGCAGTCTAAGGTTGAGGGCGTGGTCCGTTCTGGACAGTTCGCCAGTCCATTGCAGGACCACAAACCATCACAAACTTTTTGAAAACGTGGGTGTGTTAATAATAATAATACATATCTGGGGAAAGGACCTCAGAGCCAGCACAAAATACACCAAGCTTAAGTGGCAAAAAAGTCAAATAAAAAGTTGAAAAAATCACACCAGTGATTGCACTGAGTTTGTGCTAATATGAATTAAATAGAAAACATGCGCAAATAAATATTTTAATTTTATTATTATTATTTTGCATTATTTTTATTGGCACAAAAATATAGTTATTTTAAGGGAATGCAATCGAATCAAATGATTTAATACATTTTATACAAATGATTTTATACATAACGTAAAGCATGTGTACCATGACAATGTAATGGAGTTAAATTATGTGATGTGATTAACATTTACCATGTTTTTAATGTATAAATTTATTCAAAATATTCTTAAAATAGGTTGGGAACTGCGGTGTGAAGATACATTTTCCAGTGTGTGATGTGACCCTGTGCCACCCCTGGAAACGCCACTGCTTCGCGGTAATTATAACAGCGGCCCACAGGGAGGTGCGCTCTTCTGCCGAGCAGTGGCGCTGTTTTGCGCTGCGCAATAACCGCAAAAGGGAAGGCCCTGTGTGGTTCTGTCCCGTCTGTCTACAGCCGTTCGTCGTTTTCTACTGCACTTCCTCTCTCTTTCAAACCGTCCTGTAGAAACAGAGTGAAAACCAGACAAATGTGTTAGAAAGATGCGGATTTTCGCCAGAGTTGGTTTAAACCAGTAAAAGTAAGAAGGTGCAGTCGATGTGCTCCGTCACACCGTCGCAATTACGTACTACAGTTGAGCAGATTCCAGATACGTCGTCCTTCAGCAAAGACACAGAATTGACTGAGCCAGTGAAAGCGCGAGTGCGTGTGTGTTTGCTACACCTGAAACATGTCCCTGTCTCTCCCGCCGTTCGTGTCGCTCATGTACCGTGTCTAAATCTACATATGTGGACAAATGTCTGCCTGTCATCAAAACCCAATACACACACACATACACCACAGCAGAGAATGGCTCGGCTCGGCTCGCTTCAGCGGCCGAGCTTGCTGCAGTTGTTTTCCAGTTTAATGCTCCTTCCTTTCTGGGAGGGGGGAAAAAAGGAAAAACTGGATTCCAATTTTTTTATTTTAAAGATTCAAAATCACCACAGTAGACGTTGAAAGTGTCCTCAGGTGTCATGGTTGGTGTTGTCAGCCGTGCGTTTGACATACACGCGTACACACATACTCAACAGAGATATTTGTGGCGCTTTCTGTCAGCAGCAGCGCTTCTGAGGCTGACTTTGGCAGAGACATTTTGCATGTTAAAGAAAATGTGCCCCTCGTGTCAGGGCGGCTGAGTTGAGAACCACAGTGGACATACGTCCAGAGTCCAGCAGTGGAGCTCTGTGGGTCTCTCTGTGGACTTCTCTTCCCTCCGTGGCAGCGCGGCTCAACTTTATCATGGATCATACATGAAGAGTGTGTGGCCTGTGGTGCTTCTGCTCCCTCCTCTCAGGCTGGAGGACTCCATTTTGAAGGGACCAGGGTGAGCTGCCACAGATTGAACAGCAACTCGTCTCTGAGGAGGAAGGCACGAAGGAAGTCGACTGTTTTTTTCCGGGTATACTGCACCACTATTTTAGCTCTTGTCTCACATGAGTTTATGTATTTATTTTTATGCTTATGTCATGTCCAGGTGTGTGTTGTGTCGTCTTGGTGGTGGTGGTGATGAAGAGGAGGAGGAGGAGGATGCCAGCTGTTGGCACAAGTTTGGCGTGTGAAGTGTCAGTGGTAATGGCAGCCAGGTGTAGCTTTATTATTGACGGTGGTGATGAAAGGGTCAGTGCTTAACATTAAGGACAGTTTATTTGCATATATTGGAAATATTAGCTGTATGTAGATTACAAGTTTGTTGATAAGTCCTTTTAAAATATTTAAAGAAAAACATACATGTAGGAGGCCGCCATGTTGGGCCACTATATTAACCTCATTATTTCATGAAGCTCTAAAAAGATCTTAATGAATACAAACATACATTGGGTGGGTGCAGTATCACCTCTATCCAGCAGGAGCTGGCAGGAGAAAAATGGCTCAGTCATTAAGAAATTGCTAATTTCTATTGTAAAATACTTAGGCTAATTAAAGTTAGCTGTATCAGCAAATCAATAGGAGTTTGTTTGTTGTTGTAGTTGGTTTGCAATGCAGTTTCCTCCTGGTGATTTTTTATTGTTGTTTTGTTTTCTGGTTAGCAGCTGCCATCTTCTTTTGCTTGCTTTATTTAGAATGTCAAAATGTTTTCTTAAATATCATTAGCCTGATTCAATTTTTAGTCTGCTTTCCCAAGTAGACGATAAAACGTGGGGATAAAGACCCTAAAATTCATAGCTAGTGCTGTCCTATAGAAACTGGCTTGTTGCAAGTGTGCTAGTTTTTAAGATTGGTGTAGGTCAATGCAAGTAGTTGCTTTAAGGTTCTAAACATGTTTTGTATACACATTTATTTTCTGATAGTCTTTATTGTCACTGTAACATGGGGGTACAACAAAATTGAGGACTGCAAAAGCATACTATAAAAACAATAGTATGCAGCATAAACTGCATAGACCTCGTGGATAACCAGTGAAAAAGAAAGTGGAAGTGAGGTGATGGTTGTGGGAGAGTGCTTTTGCATTCTTTGTTATATGTAACAATCAATGTAATCGTCTAACGCGCATGGGGAAGGGAGGGGTGAGGAGATCTGGCGATATCTGTTGCACTCTGTGGTCTTACCGATAGATGTCATTAATTACTAGTGACTTGACTTTCAATGGGACGACAGCAGTGGTTTTGAAGTTTCCGAGTTTTAGGTCTGTCAGCAATTTATTAATTCACAAAATCATAATAGTTGAGATGATAGGGAACCCCTTAGTGCTCATTGCCGAGGAGCTACTGTGGAGGGAGGGAGGTGGTGGTGACGCCTGGCTGGTGCGCACAGGCAGAGGGGAAAAAAGACTTGACTTTCAAGGGACAGGCAGAGTCTGCAAGACAGGAAACGGCAAAAATCCACCGTCGGTTGATTTTAAAGTTGTAGTTACACTATCTCACAGCAAAAAAGGAGGGCTGTGACTGAAGGAGTACGACGAGCCTGTGAATATTCCAGGGGCCGCTGGACCAGGCTTTCGCGCATGTAGAGAGAGGAGTTGAGGGGAGGAGGGGTGAGTGGGTGACTACGTTTCACAGGATCCAGGCCTAGTAGTGCTGCCTCCGGGACTCTCCTCATCCGCTCTCACAAATTTAGAAATTAGGCCATTTAAACGGCAAAGTGAGGAAGATGAAGGTGAGGTTCGCTTTCTACCACACGGGAATGGTAAGATTGTCGCGTCAGATCCCGCGTCATTTTGTTTTTTCTCCGTGATTTTGTTGTTTGATGCACACACACACAGCCATAGGCGCACACACACATACACACTGCATCTATTGGGAGGGATGACTGTACTAGTACGTTAGTGTGTTTTGTGCGTGTGTGCGTGAGCTTGTGTGTCGTCTTCGCTTGTATGTTGTTGTGGAGCGCTGACTACAGTCATGGAGCCATAGATACACACACACCGACATCAACATACACGCACCTCTGTGCACGCGCCGCAGTCACGTGTACGCGCACGGATGGGTCCATTTTTATTCCATGTCTTGGATTAAGCGTTAAAGGTTTTGACGTTGGGCGGACTTTAAATACAAACACACAACGCGCCATTTTAAGCCGACAGCCTTTGGTTGCACATAGGTATGTGTAGAAGTTCAGTGACTGACCTTACGGCAGTGGATGCCATTTTTATCGTATCGCAATCATTTGAGCCTTTTTCGAATTTAGTTCGCATTCTGAAATACGGTTATTGAGATTAGGATGCTAGTCAGTTGGTCAGTCAGGATGTGTGTGTGTCTGTTGTGTAAATATCTATGCATGTATTTATGTATAGAGTTATTTCTAAATGCACATACATGCACTGCCGATTATTAATTGAACTTTTAAGATTCCAGGATATGCTCGTTTTATATACCGAAATAAGGTTTGTTTTTTTCTTTCTTTCTATGAATGCTACCATTAGCTTACTCCTTGTAGGTACTATGAAAGGTACACATTGTCATATTTGGGTCCAGTTGTTTTAATCCCGATTTTATTACTGGAACTTGTAACGGGGCTTGTCTATTAAGACCACCATACTGGATTATTGTGTTTCACAAAAAAATTACCAAATGAACTTGAATAGTATTAGTTATAAAAAAATGTAGCCATAACAATTAGATTTACCACCAGACATTAAATGATTCTACACACTGGTCCTTTGTGATGTCATCTTAGTGTTGATCTTAGGTGTTTAAAGTAGGCAGTATGTAATTTTGGCCCATTTTCAATTGGATTCAGCACTTTTGTGTCTTAAAATTAAAGATTTAAAGATGGGTTGTATAATACAATTTTGGATTGTGTTTATTATCTTGTATCTCCTCATTAGACAAGGTCCACATCCCCCATACCTGAGTAAATATGTATAAAAAAGGGGCAACCTGTGGCTCCGTGGTTAACGGATCAAGCATGTAATCAGAAGATGGCCTGGCAGGTGACTGTGGTGCGTTAAGCAAGCATTGAAATTGTCCAGCTCAGTTGATTAAAAGTACAGCCCAATGCTCCTGTATGTCCTGTGCTAATTACTGAAGTGTTTCATAGTTGAGTTCAGTGCTGTAATTCTCCATTAGGGTATAAGTAGAATAGTGAAAAATTTAAATCAATGAAATACAGGTACTGATCAGGTAAAGTATCTGGTGTAAAGACTGACAAATCATTTGTTTAGGCAATGAGCTGTAGAAACTTTGGAAGAAGGAAACAGATAAATTATTCAGTAGTTTTAAGAGTATTAGGCATCTACTAAAACAGGGCTTTCAAAGTGTATTGTGACGTGAAGTGCATCTTTTGTTTTTTTATTTTTTTTAAATAAGATTTGTAGAACTGATAAATGTTTGTTTTTCTTTCAGGAAGACACTATGTCAGCATGAGTGGGCCTCATGTAGGCCCTAAAAGGGACAGTCATCAGCCCACCTGTCCTTTGAACTCTGGATGTGACCTCTCCACCCCCTCTTTGTCCTCCAGACAGCAGGGCAACAGGACCAGTGCAATCATGTCTGCTGCCACCTCATCCCTCAAGCATGCTTCTGTGTATGGGTTTTCACAAAGGGACCACCCGTCCTCCTCTTCTTCCAACTACAGTCCTCTGAGAAGGTTACAGCATCTCACCACCATGGTCAGTCAGCCTGACCTGGTTCTGCCAGTGAGAGAGCCTAAAAGAACCTGGGATTGGGAGGCACCTAAGAAGCAGAAGGGGCAGGAAATATATAAAGACTCTTGGACTGATTTTACTAGCAGGAAATATTGTGAAACCCTTTATACAAATAAGGAGGAGAGTCCTGGTAAAAGTCCTGCCGGGCAGAAACAACCTGAGGTCCCAACACGAAGTACAGATCCACCAACAGGCAAACAGAGTAATCATGTTCCTTCAAAGAAAAACACAGAAGGTAACTCCTCTGGCCCACCAAGCCCCGCTTTCTCTCTCGATAGCAACAGTCCTTTTGCTAATGGCCTTCTTCATTTTGAATCCGCTTTATTTGAGGATGATGATGCTGATCAAGTTCGAGAGACAGTGTCACCTATTGAAGGCTTACGGGACATTCATGAGAATAAAGGGGATGTTCCTCAGGCAGCTTCTGGAGACTTAAACTTGAACTCCAAGGATGTTTCCCTGTCATCAGCGAAGGTAGTCACACGGTCCCAGTCCTCAGGTCAACGCCGGAGATACTGGGATGGCTCAGAGGACGAGTGGGACAGTGACACCGATCTCTTCATGTTTGTGGATAGTCCCTCAAGGCAATCATGGGCAAGTTTGACATTTATTACACTTGTTAAAATTATCACTTTGAATTTTTGAGAAAAATTGAGAAATGTTCTCACTGTTAGGGAGGTTTGTTTTCTGGTGATTGTGCACTTACAGACCTGGCATGCCCTACCAGACCTGGCTAGCACATGTCAGGTGAAATTACCAATCAGAGGCAGAGTGAAGCCAGAGTGATGCTTTTACTGTCCTGGAGTGAAGGACAATAAAAAGTTCCAGCACTCTGTCCAGAGTTATGGCCAACATTGTTTGTGTTGACACAAATGAAAGTTTCACTAGTTGCAGAGGGAATTCATTTTGGGTAAAAACAGAATGCACTTGTATGCGGGCTAATTTGATGAAAACATTAAGACCTGCTCATTTAAAATTTGTTCAAATATTTCTGATTGGTGCTGTTTTTGTAGTTATTTTAATTCTGCCGTTTTATTTCTCCCCTTTGTCCTAAAAAGAATTCAATATTGCACTTTGACCAGTTTTCTAGACACAGCTTCAACCGTGTTGTCTACAGTGCTACTTCACAGGCCGTGCCTTTGTTGGTTGTCACAGATGTTCTTTCTGAGAGTACAGCAGAACCTACTGGTTTGCAGTCAGTTTGATTATTTCACAAAAGGTCATTGAGAATAGTAGTGGCCAGAAGGCTAAAAGTTGGATGCTCTACAACAGAATATAAATTCTAGTTAGAACCTGTTCAAGACTGCTTGGCTACAGGCCAGGATTATGACAATAATGCTCATATTCATCCCTAAAGAAGATGTAGTGATTCAGTAAATGTTATGATTTCTCCTGAAATTATACTTCATGTTCCATGCATTATAATTATCTATGGGAACATAATTTTTCAGTTCCATGTGCCACAACTCTCATCCCGGGATAACTGACAGATACAGTATATTGGATAATCGATATTTACAGAACAGTATGTTTGTGGGTCACAGCACAATAAAGGTGCTATTTATGTGTGTACCTCACAATTTCTCTGGTGCCCTTGCAAAAAATGTGTATTGTGATCAGCTTTTTTGTGTGATTAAGTCCAATTCTTTTTAATGCCTAGATTTCAAAGCTCTGCATTTAGGAGTGGAAGAATGAATCTACTGTTATGTCCAGTATTATGCTGTCTACTCAGCAAGAGCACATTCTGTACATTGAACCCTCTGTGTGTCACTGAACGTTATTATGCTACAATAAGTTTAATTTATGTTAATGTGTGTTTAAAGACATTCAAATTTCTGGAAAAACCTGGGTGAAAAAGTAACAAAATTGTCATAACAAACATATATTTAATGACCCCCTGTGCAGCAACTCCCAGACTGCTAGGGGCAACTAGTCCCTTGTGAATGATCTCCACACTACACTGAACTGTAATATTTACTTTTTTTTTTTTTTTTACAAAACAAACAAAACAAGTTTTGTTATGCCCTAACAGGACAGTGGTTCTGTTTAAACATTTGAAAGCATGTTGCTGATTCATTACCAAAAGACTTGTCAACAGCAAAGCAAATTGATACAAAATACTTTTGAGATATAGTCTCTCAGCCAAGTAACACAGCCAATTTGCTGTAAATACTAAATGTCTTCATTTCATGTGGAACTCATTCAACATTTTATTTTTGTACTTTTGTGGTTAGCAGGACATCATGAAGAAAAATTCATTGCCACCGCTGAAGTTTTTAGAGGGTGAAATTATTTGGGCAAAGTACGGGCGGAGACCATGGTGGCCCTGTGAGGTGATGGTTGACCCTGTGCAGGGAATCTATCACAAAGTGAAAGGTGAGTTGAAGCACTCTGGCTTATTGTTATTAATCAGAGTAATGTATTATATATGGCTGTTTTTAAAAACAATGTTTGGAACTAGACAGTCTTAATGCAATTGAATTGACATTTCAGTTGAAACTATGCATTACTACTACAAACTCTGGCTCATCCATTTAGACTTATACCAATATTGTCATAGAGCTGTGTATTATTTTAAACTGAAGTTTAGATATTGTACAACTCAGTGTGTTCTCTTAATGCAATTTCTGTACTGTTTTGCAGGACAAAGTTCTTTTAGTTTGCATTTTATGAGCATTCGTTGGGTTGTTTTTCAGAGCCAAGTGATCGGCCTTGTCGGCTGTACCATGTCAGGACCTTTGGTCATCCTATGGAGCTGGTCTGGGTGGAGGATAAATCAACTCGCACTTTTTATGGAGGTTATGAATTTGATCAACTTGTCCGACGAAGAGGAAAGGGAAAGGAGAAGAACAATAAAAACATGGTAATAAATTGCCTGTTAATGATTAAATACTAGTACACTCAAATAAAACATCTATGACCTTAATAAGTTAAAATAATAGTGTAAAATAAAACACATTAGTCATTCTGAGCTGTATTTCTTTTTTTGTAAACAGATTCCAAAGCGTTTGCAGGACTCATGGAACTCTGGTGTCACAGAGGCTGAATCTCTGCTCTCAGAAAGACCCAAAATGGCTTCAGGTGTATCTCCATATACATACGATGACTTCCAATACAGTTTCGCTCAGGAGGGAGATAACAAGGCTAGGTCATCTTTCTCTCTATCCACTTCAGAAGCCGCTGTCGAGCCTGAAGCGTCTCAAGCTCTAAATGGAACTCTTTCATCGTCATTACCAACTTTAGAAAAGCCAAGCACTTTACAGAAACCTGATGAAAAGAAGAAACAAAATAACTTGACAAAAGACTTGAATAGTAAGGAGTCTAAAAAGATGTTTACGTGTAGCCCCGACGGATCAGATAGAGACAATGAGGAGTGCCCGTACTCTGATCTTGACTCGATTCCTATTTTGTGTTCTAAAGCACTTGAACGTCAGCCGAAGGCTGTCTCAAATCAGACATCTGCTTCAAGTGTCAAAGAGGTGAGAAAACAGCCAGAAAACCAAAGTGGTCTTTGGTTTAGTAAATCAGGTAAAGAAAGGAGACAAAAAACATCAACTTCAGTGCCAGATCGCACCTTATTTAGTAAAGCCTCATGTAAGAAAAAGAACCAAGCAATTGCTCCTAAAAAAGTGGTCACGAGTGTCTCAGGCAGTGTAGTGAGTGAAAAGCCAGGGTTGTCAGACAGAACTAAGCCTCTGATAAATCCTGAAGCAAACTGGCTGCCTGAGCAGTCTGAACATTGGAGGAATAAAAACTCAGATTCCTGTCATTCTGACTGTACAACTGGTGGTGTTGAGATTCAGTCAAGCCTTTCAGAGAAGCACAAGAGCTTGGTAACTGAGGAGACCGATGTGTTCTCTACAAAGTATACCCAACAGACACCCAAAAATACAGCCGATAGTCCCGTTGGTAAGCTGTCTGACCAATTTGGGGGCTTACATGTTAAAAATACTCAAGAATCTGATGGAGAAGTTGGTGATGGCGATTACGTCAATTGTTTGGAAAACGCAAAGAGTTCAACTCAATCTCCTGACAAAGAAATCAATAATGAAGTCAGTGTAGTTTGCAAAATTTTGAATCAACCAGAGAAAACTGGAAATAACAAAACTCCTGCCTCCAGGTTAAATTCTGCCAATAATAGTCACACCAAAAAGAGTGTCCATCCATCTAGAACTCCCGACGTGATAACCACTAACATAGTCAGTGCAACGGAAAAAATATGCAAAAAAACAGAAGAAAAAGAAAACAACAAAACCCCAGTGTCCAGCTCAAATGCCGCCGCTAGTATAAAAAGTGTCTTTCCGACTGAAACGCCTGACAACATTTCTGCACAAAAAAGGAAAATAGAAAGTAACGAAACTCATGTTTCCAGTTTAAATCCCACCGCAATTGATAATAACAGATGCTCAAAAAGTGTAAAGAGTGTCAGTCCACCTCCCGATAAGAAAACCAATAATCAAGTCAACGCAGCTGCCAAAATTTCAAGTCGAAAAGAGAAAATGGAAAATTTAAAAACTCCAGAGTCTTCTATAAATTCTATCAGCAGTGCTGACCAGTCACTAATAATTCAAGAGAAGCAAGCCAGTCTTCTGTCTAAGTGTAGGCAGCCCTTCGTCAAATTAATACGCAGAGATTTAATGGATACAAAGGTTCTAAACTCCAGGGAAAATTCCATTGACCAATCTGAAAGGAAAACCAATGAAAAGCCATCTGACAGTAAAACAAATAAAATAAAACCTCAACAGTCCGAAAAGTTAGATGTCAAGGCAAATGTGTCCTTGGAGAAGATCCTCATATCAGAAAGTCTGCAGGTCTCAGTAGTGAAGTTAAAAACTGCTGGGGAGAATTGTACTTTTAATCTTCCTTCCCCACAAGGGAAACACACCTCTTCTTCCAATGTTGCAGGTGTGTCACCAGCAAAGGTAGTGAATTCAGAAACAGAAAATTGTCCTAAAAGTGTAACATGCTCATCCGTGAATCAGTCAAACCAGTCAGACAATAAAGACATCCATTCTGAGCAGTCAGAAGTCTTGACTAAAAAACCATCTACTGACACAAGTACGTCCAATATTTCTTCACCTGCTTCTCAAAATCAAAGTAGATGTCTAGAAGGAACAAAAGAAAAGGCAAAGGAAACGAGTGAAGACAAAAATGATGAAACAATTCCAGTGGCTACAGTTGTAATCCCACAAGGACAGACTGACCATGAAAAACAAAGTGGTTCAGAATCTATGAATGATGATATTTCTGAGGTCCAGATTCCGGAGAACTCTGAGACCGTTGTTCAAACACAATCAAAGCAGGTTCTAAGTGAAGTATATCAAGTACAGGAGCTGCCCACTCACCTCCCAGCCAGCACTCGTTTGTTGACCAGGGCTCTCAAGGCCATGCAGGAGAAAAAGGAGAAAGACCAAAAGAGGATGAAGCAGAAAGAGGAGTTCGATGTATTCAGAAAAGCTGAGGACTATGTGTTTCACTCACACAACTTTACTCGGAGCATGAAGACCAAACAGATCTCCAATGCTAAATTAAAACACTATAAATCTAAGCTTGGTGTAAATAGTGAGTTAAATCAGGACACGCATTCCAGCTGTTGCAGCCTCACTGTAATGTCCTCAGGTTCGGCTGACTTCGAAGCTGATGTTAAAAGGGAAGAGGAAGACCACTCGGTTTCCTCGACACCACCCATGGACTTCATACCCCTCACTTCTACAGTAAAGGCGAAAAAGGATGATTTGTCTGTTAACAAATGCTCCTCTTCCTCTTCTTCGTCACCGTTCTCCTTCATGAATGACTTTAAAAATGTAAAGGAGATCACGCTTCAGTCTGTGACAAATGAGAGAAATGGTCAACCCATCTCTTTCAAACCACATCCAAACTACGAGTTCAGCACTTTTCTGATGATGTTAAAAGACCTGCATGACACCAGAGAGCGAGAAGGTGCTCCATTAGAACTAAACATCGGTCCACCCAGTGCCCATGTTAAGGAGGAGCCCCTTGTGGTGCCTGGCCAGGTGACACCTGCACAGCAGGAGCAAAATTGTAATCTCTTTAATTCAACTTCAAGTCAGGATAAAATGTTAACCACGCCAACTAAAGACAGTAAATGTCAGACATTGAAGAGGTTCCACAATCGAAGGAGCGGCTGCACTGGATGGAAAAGGAGAGCCAAACACAAAGTGCCTTGTGATCTGGTCAGGTCTGGACCTGGATTCCCAGGTTTGGAATCCACCAGAGCTGCATCTTTACCAATACCAGACTGTTTGCTTGGAGTGAATTATTCATCACAAGTCCTGTCCTTGAAGGACATGCAGGTCAGCTGCTGGGAGAAGGAGACAAGAGATGGTAAAGAAGTGGTTGAAAGGGAAACAGAGGAGGAGAGGTGGCGTAGGGTTAAGGGAAATCTACAGAACATGGTGCCTCTGGAAAAGCATGGATTCAACACTATGTTACATCAGGAGGATCAAAATGCTGTTGTAGATGACCACACAGAGACCAACGAAACATTAACACGCATCAGCGCAGGATGCAACAAAGTATCTTCAGGTAGGTTTAGTTCTTTTTTTTTTGTCATCTTATGCCAAACACAATACTGGTGGTGGTCACAACACCTCAGTGCAGTTCAATCAGATGTTGATGAAACACACCAGGTCAATGAACAGTATTTACGCAAACATTAATTTATTTACACATTACAATCATCTGTGGAAGGAAGAGTCAGCACAAAGTTGTTTTATACCTTCCTTTTTCTATCCAGCACTAACAGTTTTGACAAAAAAATGTTTTAAAAGAAAGTAACCCCTTTGAAACTTTTTGATTTTCAGCACAAAAGCGTTTGAGAAAACCAAGTAAGAGGCTGATTGAATGGACAGAGGACTACAATCAGATTTTCTCCCCAAGGAAAAAAATCAAAAAGCCTCTCCAGTCTTCTGTAAGAAAAACATATGAAGTATAATTCAAGTATTGTCTATGCAGGTCCACTGTGTCTGGCATTCTTTTATTTCCAGGACTCTGAAGCTTCTACCTCTGTTCCTGTTGAAACCAATGGAACCAATGTACCAATGGAAACACATCAGACCACCCATGAGTTCCAGACCCTCAACTTAGTCCCTGAAATACAGACGCCACCTCCTGAGGAAACTAGTGCAACAGTGACACCTGAACTGCAAATTCCTAACACTGAAGACACATGTCCCCGGGAGACACCTGTGCTGTCCATCGACACACTAACACCTCCTCCTGAAGCTGAGCCTTCGCTCTCAGAAGGCGTTGTTAAGGATAACGGTAATATTGAAGCATATATTGCATATTGCATTTGTGTTGGGTGATTTTGTTTGGAAGAGAAACTCATGGGTTTAATATAATAGGCAGCACAGATGAGATCAACCAGAAACTACATCCACATACAGTATTTAGTCGAAGAGAATGCAAACTAAATGGGCAAACTTGAAAATGTTAACATAGCCATAAAATTTGATTGACAGTTAACGCCCCTGTGCTGGGGAGGAAGCGGAAGAGGAAGCCAACTCAGAAGATCCTGGAGTACAGTCTGGAAGCAGAAGCTTCAACAGTCCCTAAGAAGAAGGTACACACATTTCTCTTTGCTATATACAGTATGTATGCCAATGCATTTCACATATTTAGAATCTGTTAGTAATCCATAAAACAGCTGCAATCTGTAATCTGCAATGTGATCTTAATTCAATGTTGTTACAGGTGCGAGCACTGAAGAATAGCACAAGTCCTGTTCCTCAGTCAGGTCAGTATGTAAATATATATATATATATAATTTACAATATTTAACTGTATTTGACCAAGTTCCAGCTCCATTGTCTTATACATTTTAAAAATGTAAATTATTTTTCTTAGATCCAAGACTTCCAACTTTAAAAATCAGGAACAAGCAGCTTGTGGCATCCACCTCTGCACCAACAGTTCCAGAGGTTTCCACCACGACCCCGTTGCCCTCTGTTCAGGCATCCGTCATCAGTACCACTACAGTATTGTCTGAACCAGCTCCACAGAAACCCAGTCAGGTGGAGACCTCATCAGCAGACTTTGACGTCTCTCAGCCAGAGGACACTAAATCTGAGGAGCTGAAAAAGGACGGAGCCGATTCAGAGGTAAAACACTGTGGTTTTGTTTGCAGCATTAATCTTCACACTGTAGGCAGCGTTGTAGTACTTGGGACAAAGTCACGTGACAAGCAGTTGAAGGTTTAATACCCTACTGTGCTCTGTTTTTGTGACAATGATACTATTTTGTCTTTTGTTTACCAGGAGGGTGACTCATCAACCTTGGATCACAGTTTCTCCTCGTTGAAAGAGCTCTTCTCTTTATGTAATGACCCACATTTACCGTTGAGGAAGATCATTGGAGATCGAGGAGGCCCAGCTTCCATGAAGGAGAATGTATGTCAGGTGAGAACAATTCATTCTTGTGTCAGCCTCAGCGTAATTAGGGGGGGAAAGTAAGTAAGTAGTGCTCGAAAACACAGTATACACTTTTAGGGCTACTCCACTCTGATCCCTCTTTTCTATCTATATTTTATTGTTTTTTACATTTACATTAGGTGTGTGAAAAGACCGGGGAGCTTCTTCTGTGTGAGGGTCAGTGTTGTGGAGCCTTCCACTTGGCCTGTATTTCTCTGGCTGTGGCACCTAAGGGGAAGTTCATATGCCCTGAATGCAAATCAGGTATGTCTTATAACTTTTAAATGAAAATAAATTTAAACCACTGTCCAGTAGCTTCACTCGGTGCTGCTATTGACACTACTGACACTGCATTTGTCAGTATTGCAATATTAGAATATTTTTTGCTGGCTTTACCCTAATCATTTAGTATAATATTTTATATAATGTTATTTATGCAAATGCAACACTTAATCAAGTAGTTGTTTATTTTCCAGGCATCCACACTTGCTTTGTGTGTAAAAAGCGCAGTGAAGATGTGCGCCGCTGCATGATCCCTGTGTGTGGAAAGTTTTACCATGGTTCTTGCATCGCCAATTATGCCGCAACTGCACCTGTGAACCGAGGCTTCCGCTGCTCCATCCACGTCTGTCTCACCTGCTTCATCGCCAATCCTAACAGCTTGTCCATAGCTAAAGGTAAAGTAAGGACTCCCACATGTAAGGTCGTCAGCACTTCTTTCAACATGTCTGCATTCTGAACCTCTGTTTATTGTGTTGCCTCTGTCTGCAGGCCGTCTGGTGCGATGTGTGCGCTGCCCTGTTGCCTATCACGCCACAGATCTCTGTATGGCAGCTGGCTGCGTTGTCCTTTCTAACAACAGCATCATCTGTCCGAACCACTTCACACCCAGACGTGGCGTCAAGAACCATGAACACGTCAACGTCAGCTGGTGCTTTGTCTGCACAGAAGGTGATGATTCATGAATTACTGCTTTTAACTGTTCACATCTGCAGTAACTGAGCTCCTAGTTCCCGCAACTTAACAATGTAGTTCTTTTCTTGCGCTGTAGGGGGCAGTCTTTTGTGCTGTGAGTCCTGTCCTGCTGCTTTTCACCGGGAGTGTCTGAACATCGAGATGCCCAAAGGCAGCTGGTACTGCAACGACTGTAAGGCTGGAAAGAAGCCTCACATTAAGGACATTCTGTGGGTAAAAGTTGGCCGTTACAGGTTAGTGACCAGCTAGAAAAAACTCATAATAAATCATCTTTTGTCATCCTTAACCAATTAATGGTGGAGCCGCGAGGCGAATGATTGTTAGATTGATCTGGTAAATTATTTACAGGTGGTGGCCTGCAGAGGTCAGCCATCCCAAGACAATCCCACAGAACATCCAGAGGATGAGGCACGATGTGGGTGAGTTTCCTGTTCACTTCTTTGGCTCCAACGACTACCTGTGGACGTACCAGGCCCGGGTCTTTCCTTACATGGATGTTGATGCCAACAGCAAAGAAAAAATGGGGAAAGGTGTTGATGCCACATACAGAAAAGGTAGTGCTTTGTTTGTTCTGTCAACTCAAAGTGACTCCTTGAGTCTATTATGAAGAAAGGGTAAATTGTTTTTGGAATATTCATTTTGATTATTTTCCTGCTGTCCCTCGTTAGCTTTGGAAGAGGCAGCTACCAGGTTTCGAGAGCTGCAGACGGAGAAGGAGATGAGGCAGCTTCAAGAGGACAGGAAGAACGACAGGAAACCTCCTCCATACAAACACATCAAGGTCAGGGAGGAAACTACTTCATGACATCTGTCTATTTCATGTGTTTTTGTCCTGTATTACATTTACTTAAAACAAATGAAAACATTGAGATTTAGTCTGTGCCAATAACATCTGTCTTATTTAGGTCAATCGACCAATAGGAAAGGTTCAGATTCTGACAGCTGACCTCTCTGAGATCCCCCGCTGCAACTGTAAAGCTTCAGATGAGAGTCCATGTGGTCCAGACTCTGAGTGCATCAACCGCATGCTGCTGTATGAATGTCATCCGCAGGTACAGAAACATCTCAAGTCGAGAGTTTTTATTCATCTTCGAGCTGAAATCCAACCTTTTCTGTCTTTATTTAGTTAGTAAACTAATATTTATTGTATTCTGACACGTAGGTCTGCCCAGCAGGAGAACGTTGTCTCAATCAGGCTTTCAGCAAGCGTCAGTACAGTCAGGTGGAGATTTTCAGGACACTGTCCCGAGGATGGGGGCTTCGCTGTGTGCATGACATCAAGAAGGTGAATGAAATGTTATATATTTCATTCATATATGTCATATATGTATATAATTTTTGATGTGGCTCAGTTGTGTGACACTCATGACAAACAGAACAACATTTTTGCTGTAACACTCTTGCTTAAAACTGTGGTTACTACACTGCATTGAGCGCCCTCTCTGGTCACATTCTAATGTCTCTAATACACAGACCTGTTGTTTTTCTCCCAGGGTCAATTTGTGAGCGAGTATGTTGGGGAGGTGATTGACGAGGAGGAGTGCAGATCCAGGATCAGACATGCACAAGAGAACGACATCTGTAACTTCTACATGTTAACACTGGATAAGGTAGGACATCAAGACAATGTGTTTGATTTGTATAGAATAAACAAGTGGATAAACATTCAGTCTTATAGTACAATGAAAATGTTTACAAATATCCAGGGATTCTCATTTGTCTAAATATTTGCACAATAAAGCGTCCAAAATGAACACGCTACAGCGTTTCTGTTTTTAGCAATGTACAGGAAAAAAGTTTTGTTTCATATTTAGGATTGTTGATATGCCTTCATTGAGCATCATTTATGAAGATCATAATTAACACAGTCAATAGCACAGTGTACAGCTTAGATTAATCAGGGTTTTTCTTTTTTTATTTAAGCGATGCAACCTGGTATCAAAAAGTCTCCACTTAGTCTTTAGCCCTTAGTTTAAAGTTTGAAGTTTAAACCATTGTTGTCTGTTTTAGGACCGGATTATTGACGCAGGACCGAAGGGGAACGAGGCTCGATTCATGAACCACTGCTGTCAGCCAAACTGTGAAACACAGAAGTGGACAGTGAGTGGAGACACCAGGGTGGGACTGTTCTCGCTGGTTGACGTTGCTGCAGGTATATTTAACACTGTCAAAGTCCAACAGAATTAGCTTCTTTTACAGCAAAGAAAAATAATTAGTTTTCGATCCTGAGTATTCTATGTCTAATATGGAATCTTCCTCAGCGTGATTTAGTCTTGTTTGTCTCTTCTCAGGCACTGAGCTCACCTTCAACTACAACCTGGAGTGTTTGGGGAATGGAAAGACAGTTTGTAAATGTGGTGCACCAAACTGCAGCGGCTTCCTGGGAGTTAGGCCAAAGGTAAAGGACATGAACACAAATGTTAGGCCTGGTTTTCTAAAAACCTTTTGACACAAACCACAGTAAAAACATTCCACATTTCCCTCCACAATCAGAACAACCCTCCCTCTGACGACAAAGGTCGGAAACTGAAGAGGAGAGGGAAGAGGAAGAGCAAGGCTGTGGTGACCAAAGAACGAGAGGACGAGTGTTTCAGCTGTGGAGACGGAGGACAGATGGTTTCCTGCAAGAAACCAGGATGTCCTAAAGTTTACCATGCTGACTGTCTCAACCTCACCAAACGACCTGCAGGTCAGTGATGGTATTATAGGCACTGGTGTCAGGCATGGGGTTAATAAAGGTTCATATATAACTACCTGAACTGTGACCAGGTTTTCTTTTGGACCTGTTCTTCTGTAGGTTCACCTTCATTTAAAGGTCCCCTGGCCTTCTCACTGACATTTCTTTTCATTGCAGGTCGATGGGAATGTCCATGGCACCAGTGCGATGTGTGTGGTAAGGAGGCAGCATCTTTTTGTGAGATGTGTCCAAGTTCCTTCTGCAATCAGCATCGTGAAGGCCTGCTCTTCATCTCCAAGCTGGATGGCAAGCTCTCGTGCAGTGAACACGACCCCTGTGGACCTGATCCTCTAGAACCAGGTGAAATCCGGGAGTACACGGCACCAGATCCCAGAGCTCTGACCTCAGGACTAGGAATGGCCGTCATCCCTTCTGCTCCTTCTAATAACACCTCTAGTCTGAACCCTTCCACCAGGAGAGTCCGGCAGATCAATGCCAGCTCTGGTTCTTCCGATTCAATCCCTGCCTTTTCGATCCCCGTGCCCATCACCATCCCTGTCTCTGCTCCTGCAGCCTCACCTCCACCGAGCAGCTCTGAAGCCGCCAGCAGCCCGCAGGTGTTTGACCTCCCACACTACTCACCCATATCTTCGTATGAGGAGGAGAGAGATGTCTTAGAGGATGACGAGCTATTAGCAGAAGAGGAGGATGGGCAGGAGTTTGTAGAAGAACGGGAGGTGGAGAGGCAGAAACCAAACCTGCAGAAAGAGGAGGGGGAGGTGGTGATCGATGAGGTCGGGTTGGAGTATCTGGAAATCAAAGAGGATGAAGATGACGATGATGATGACGATGATGATGATGATGACGACGACGAGGAGGAAGAAGATGAGGAGGAGGATGAAGATGACGAAGAGGATGAAGAAGAGGAGGAGGAAGAGTAACAATTAGTGGATTATAATTAATGAGGGCAGAACAGTGAGTCAGGACCAGGCAGAGAGCAGGTGAAGATTTTCTATTCTTGGTAATCTGTGTCTCCTGACCTTAGTACTCACTTGACACATTGACTTTTGCACAAACTTCTCAAAAGTTAAAAAAATATTCTGGAACAATATGTTTAGTGAACATATTTCACTCTGATGTAACCCGTTTACTCACCTTTTCACCAGTTCCCCTCACTGGTTTGTCTTGGTTCTAGTTCAGGTTTTATATTCTGTATATCAGCAAAGGCTTGTTGTACCTCCAAGTACTGTATCTTCACTGTAGCATCCTGTGAGTGTGTCTGACTCACCTCCTTAAGCAACGACTCCTGAGTAACAGCAACAACACGCCCCCTGGTGGATTAGTCAGTGATAAACATAATCAGAAATAACATCAAATTGAACCCTAGTTCATTCTGGATGTTCTGTTTTTAGACCTGAGCGTTTCCCTGTCCTTCACCTAAAATGTCTCATGAATTATGTGCACTTACAGTGGGTATAAAATGTTTTATGTTTTTTAATGTAAAAATAATGTTAAGCAACAGCAAAGTCAAGTGTTCAGTGAGGCCACCCATCAACCAGGCCACTCTGCTCAGTACTCTTCCAAGAATGCACCTCACTCCAGTCGGGTCATCACCTCTTGACCATTTTACCCTAATATTTTACCCCCGATTCACTGCTGTGGTCTGTGATTGTGGACTCAGTTTAACAATACTGTAGCAGAGCTGATTGTTTTCACAGAGAAAGAAACGTTCTAAAATTACATATATGTTTGTTCTCTTCACCTCACAAAGCCTGAGGTGTGTAGACAGTGGGTGTGTGTAAAGTTTTTATTTCAGTTGCGTGAGCACTTGGACACATGCTGTGGATGTCTGCCACTACATTCATCCAAATACACCGGCCGTCCCTTTTGATTAAGTTCCCTGAAAATATCCATCGTCATATGGTGCTTCAAAATCCATCTTTTCAAATGACAGTGTTTTGGATCAACACTTTCTGTCATGTATCGTATTCCTTCACCAGACGCTGCCACATCAGCAGATCTGATGTCCTCCGTAATGAAAAAACCCATTCTAAAGATACACCAATGGATGTTCTTCTATTGAAAACATCCTGTTCTTGCCACTGGAACAGCAGCTCCTCATTAGTAACCACTATGAGGAGGAAAATGTGCCCTGCACCATTTCATGCCAAAAAAGAAGACGGCACTTATGACATCATGGGACAGTACAACTGTAATTAAGAGACGTGGTGTTACTAAAGCTAGCTGGAAAAAATGAGGACACCCTGTCCTGTCCTGTGGTTGCTGATGTTCTGGAAAGACATGGTTTCTGTTACGCACAAATGAGGTGGAGTGAGAAGGTAAGTCGACGTCTTCTCACTCTGAACTCTACACCAGAAAGGAAACAAGTCTTCATCAAGATGGACTGCAGCCATGATGTTTGCACTTCTGTATGTTTGTTCACCACGTGTGTTTATCCTTCAAGCTTTTACTATTGTTTGTGTGTGCGTGCATGCGTGTGTGTGCGGGTGTGTGCGTGTGTTTATCTGCCAATGCCTTAGAGTGTATTTCTTTGGAGCTATTTTTAAGGAACGGTGTGAAGCCTGTGAGAGAAAAGTCTCGCTCCGGAAGCCTTTTTACAGTCACCCAACAAGCAATGTTTCATTCCAGTGTAATTATTGCTAGATTTCAACCATTGACCTGTCAACTACTATATAAATATATATAAGATGTTATGAAGTGAGCACTCTACTGTCCTTATTCATTTACTTTTATTCTTATTTTTCAGGAGAAGTCAGAGTTTGTTTTTCCAGGTCATCAGTTACTGTGAGTAGGAAAAAAAACCCAACTCAAATGTTACTAGCAAAACCCTTGACCTTCTTCGTTAGTAAGTGCTGTAGGGTATACTGAGGGTGACGAGTACATCAGGATGTCAACTGATGAATGGAAACTACAATCTATTTGTTGTTTAAGGTCTAAATCAAACACTTCTAACTTATTTGAAAGTATTTCAAGAGCAGGAGTTTGGAACGAGTGAAGAGCTGAAGGACGCTCCAGAGCCCAGTGTCCTGTCAGAGGCACAGAGATCAGGATACTGTTGCTGCTACTCCACATCAGGAAGGAGAAAGGAACTGGAGACACCGAGACAGTGCATATACAATCAGTGAGGCAGGTGTGGACTCTTCCACATGTGACTGAGGGAAACAGGTATGTGACTGCAGCATCGACCATACGTAGTGAGAGTATGTAGATTGCTGTTTCAATCTGTCGTTACAAATATGAAGAAGACCAATGTCCTGTCCTATTGGATTGTCCAAATGTCAATCACAGCATCCCATTTCGGTGAATTATGCACAAAATTGACATGTATCAAAGACACCCTGATGCCAGTGATTGAGTCAACTACAGTAAACTGTTCAGTTTATTTATTTTGTATATCAATTAAGAAGTAGCGGCATTTTCCCATTGACATCCTGTCATAAAGAGTCACTTCTAAAAACCAGCACAGCAATTACAATTTTTTTTGGAGAGTTAATTTTGGACACATGCATGATCCTGTCATTTCCATAGTGGTATAAAGACCAGTAAAAGTCAACCTTGTCCTGAATCTGATTTGTTATCACTACATTAGCGTTCACTTTAACAGCCAGTGTTGAAAACACATGTCCTGGTCTTGACTCCATTCTTGTACAGTAGGCGTCATTGAAGATGTTTCCACAACAAGGTTGTTTAAACTAAACAAATGAACATTCACCAACATAAAAAAACAGCATCATTGGGGTTTTCTGTGCAAAACTTTGTTCAACAGATTATGTTTCGCCTTTTCAGTCAACATTTCTTCCCTTACCATTACACGTGACTGATTTGGTAGGGATCAAGTGTATGACACATCTGGGGAGGCAGATTTTCCATTTCCATTTAAATCTCCACCAGTAACTGTTGAAGCCAAAGCAAATCTCCTTCCTTGTCTTGAAGCCGTTTGTTCGTTATGGCACAAAATAAATAATCACATCTCAATAAATTCAGTTTAAAGAGAACTTTTGGTTGCCTTCTTCTGTGGTGTGAATAACACATCCAAAACTGAGGTGTCCGACACACTCGCACTCAGTTCAAACTCCTGTGTGTGTTGCTCCAGCATCAGTTGTTGTGACAGCAGCTATAGAAATAAGAGTCTTTCTTCTGGCCCAGGTCCACACCAGTCTCTTCTGCACAAACACAGGACAAGGTTGATTATGTGACCTGTCATTCCATCTCTGAAATGACATTCTGAAAAACTCATCTTTTTTTCTACTCTCTCACCTAGTCTTAATGTGTTTTGCAAACCCGGTCAAATCAATTATTGTAGCAGCAAAAGCATTACCTCTTACCTGTCATATACTGAAAGGCTGCACTGCTGTAGTCATCAGCAACTTTCTGGAATAACTCATCTGACAAGTACAAGAACAGAAAGTTAAGTCAGACATCAAAACCTGTTATAAGAACTTTAAAAACAACTCAGAGACAGATGTACAGATGTGATGACAGAGAACTGCGTGAATGTAGTCAAGTCTGTAGATGAATTCAGATCTGACTCACCCACATTCTTTCCTGTTTTACTAGAGGTCTCAAAATGCTGAGCACCGATCTCTGTGTAAGAAAAAAAAAATCACAGTGTGTGAAGGCTGACCTATAAAAATCTGCAGTTAAAGACAGAGTCTAAAGTGATTGCTAACCAATAAATGCCTTTGAGCCTCTTTTACCTTCAGCAAAGTCCTGAGCATCATGGTAGTCGATTTGACGCAAACTTCGATCTCCTTCGATCAGATCACTCTTCGTGCCACACAGGTAAATCTTACAATGCTGGAGAAGGCAATGTGAAAACACAAAATTTACAATTACTATTTTAAATCAGAACATAAACAAGTTTTAAAAGGTACACTGCTTTGGATTCAACACCACCTAATGGTGAATCTAAATACACCCAGTCACCTACCATTTCCACAGCGTTTATGTTAAGAATCTAAAGCCATCTCTATCATCAATAAATTTACATTAAACCAAAAACTGTAATCAGAAAATATTAAAAAACCTTTCTCACCTCTTCACAGTTTTGCAGCTCTTTTACCCAGAACCGAGCTCTCTGGAAGCTGCTGCTGTCTGTCATATCTGAAAGTGAAGAGTTTGGATCAGTGTTCAATGGCAGCAGCAGCGTGACAAACTGTGGGTGTGGACCTCCAGTGTCACAGTCTCTTCTTAACATATGAGAATGATAACAACACAGCCAGATACAAAATCTGGAGGAGGTATGTAAGATTTAAATATGATTTTATACCAGTTAATACATGTGTAAATAGGAGTGGGGCTTAATGGGAGCTGGTGTGTATGGATAGAAGTTGCTAAGTTAGCAACATGAGTAATCCAGTGGGAAATTCCAGTATCTATTTTTATTACTGTAAACTTCCCCATATTGGAACAGAAGAGAAGTTTATGAAAAGATTCATTCAACATGTGAGCAGGTGTTTTTGTAATGCAGGCCAAACATTGACTTTGTTCACATTCATTCCATGCCACCTGTGATATAACTAAGGAAACAAATTTAAAAGGAGAAGTAAGGAACTGGTCCTGGTTTCAACATGGTCCACTCTGATTTCAGACTTTTCTTACAGAGTAATAACACAAAACCACAGCACTAAAGAATGAGGGGCTGTGACAATTTACCATAGCACACTACTGCAGCACGCGCTCCTCTGTAATAAATTCTGCTCATGGCTTCATATCTCTCTGATCCAGCTGTGTCCTGTGTCAGAAGAGGGAAAAGTCAAAAGAAAAGATCAGTGATGCGTGTTAAAATAGGGAAATAGTTAAGGCAGATGTTAAATATTCATCAACATGATCAGTCTGACAATAGTCAAATATTACTGATCATTTAGTAAAAACAGAAGTGAAATCAAGTTGTAACAATATATTCTGCCAGTTTATGAAAATAATTTAAGGTTAACTTTATTTTTATTTGTTTTTTGTACATGTCCACAAGGTGCTAAAAGAAATGATGAAAATCAGTTTTTATTAATAAAAATATTAATTCCACAAGAACCTGTTAAGACCTTATTAATGTTTTCTCTGAGTGAGGTTTGTTACAGGCAATACACTTTCACTCCTGAGTAGACCGGAAACTAACTCCATGTAGCCTCTAACTCACCCATATCCCCAGCGTAACCACTTTCTCTCCAACCTGAATCGGTTTGGCAACAAATGCTGCACCGATAGTCTGTAGGGAAGGAAAAACAGCAAAGAACAGCATTAGACATAGAATTACCAGAAACACAGCGTCTCCAGTCTTTTTCTGCATAATCACAGTCACACATTAAAACCACAATCACCCCAGGGCTCAGTGAACTGTGTATAGACAATATCTTTCATTGAGAGATTGGACTACAGTGAAATACTCACGTTCTGGTATGGGCCGACTAAAAAGCGGTGGTGAACATATCTCTCCACCAGGCTGGTCTTCCCCACACTCTCCTTTCCCAGCATCACCACTTTAGCATCCACACGCATCGCAGTCATATTAAACAGGTTTGGAAGCAGTAAAAATTTCACTTATTTACTTGGTACAGTCAGGCAGGTGGATGTTCTGGAAATGAACAGGACAGAGCACAACAGATGTGTTGCCATAAGAAATAAGTGAGTATGTGCCTTAAATTTAGACATGAAAAATGAAATTATAATTTAACTTGTTAATAGTCTCAACATTGAGTTAACTCTCTCTTAAATATCTTAATATTTAAGATAATATATCTTAAATAATATACAATTTACTTTTTGTAGATAGGTCTATCTCTAATGTATATTGTATTATTATTATGTATGATTTTTAAAATGAAATTATCCTTTGTGAGTCTGATGCCTCTAAATCAAGTTTTCTCTGTCTCTGCTCTGTTTGCAAGTAAAATGATGTCAGCTTCTCAAATAATGGTCATATGTGATTAAACGCTGCGTTTAATGGAATCTGTGTTGAAGCACAAGTGAAACACTAGTTTATTAAGAACTATTTTAAGAAGCTATTGTCGACATGGCCTAAAGAAGCCACAAGGCACAGCATGACTGAAATCTCGAAATGAGAGCTAACATTGCTAACCTCAGCATCATTTACTTGACATGTTCATCTCACCTTTTTGTTTTATTGTGTTCCTCAGGTCTCAGCAGTACACTCTTGTTGTGGATGATCAATCCGGATCGTTAACCGTGGCTACCACACCCGTTTTACAGCGCTCATGGTCATTTCTGCCAGGCTCCGCTCAGCCGGCTCTTGCCCGTGCACAGATACAGGCAGCTTCAGCCACACTGTTGTGCAACACGGCTGTCAAATTGTACACAAGTTGTTCAGCCGAGCAGTGTGTCATACAGAACCTGAGAACATGGTTTGTGGTTTTAGAATAATTTCATTATTTTAAAACACAAAGCCGCGAACGTACGGACACCTTCTGGAGGATGTTGGTAGCGCTATGAAAGGAAAGAAAAATACCCAACTGAGCTTTGTTTGTTTGGGTGGAACCAGGAGCGGGAGAGGCGGTTGCAGTGAAGCGGAAGTGTCCCAAATGCATGTCACAACCACCGGAAATTACATAAGATAGTTCTTTTTAATAAAAGCACAAGCGCGATTTACGACTTTGAGAGCAAAAACAATAAACTAAAACACCTAAAATAGTTGTTCTGAACATGTTTTAAAACTTTTCAAAATTTTAGAACAAGAAATTTTCAGAAAGGGCTTTTAATCAGTTTTAAAACAATTCTTGAAAATATTTCTAGTAAGATCACATTAGTGTGATTGTTGGTCACTTAGAATCACAATTACCTATTCGTTGACAAAGCATACATTTAAAAACGTAATAGATACATTTTAAAAGGACAAACTTAGTAAAGGTTACATCAAGGTGTCCAGTTGAAAATGATCAAGTAAACAGAAAAAGTAGACAATGTTACGAGGTAAAGAAAACAATTCCATATGAATAATAAATATAATTTCCTGGGTTTATCAAACCAAATAGTTTATCTATTTTTTTTCGGTTTATTAATGTTATTATTTATAATATAAAAAGTGATTCATAACTCATTTTAAACAGAGGCTAAGTACTATAGAAATATACATAATCCCTAATTAAGTAAATAGCTGTCTTCTTTGTGATTGTTGCACGGTTGTTTACCTTAGTATACCACAGACAAGTTATACTCAATAGACATCACCTTTGCACTCTGCATCTTAACCTTTTCTGATTTTCAGCCATCAGAACTTGCAATCTTCTAAAACATTTTTTTTTAAAAGCTCAAATCAAAAGCTGCACGTGAGATTTCTCAAACATTTTGAGACTGACGACATATGTGCACTGCATCTAAATTTAGTGGTTTAGTAGGTATTTTAGAGTTGATCTTATTACTGTTGTAACGACTGCTATTTTATTAGATGCAACAGTTTGCACAGTCTGATTGGTTTCAACAGTTTGGAGTCACCGTTGGCCCTGAGGCACAGCGGCGATTGGCTCCAGTAAATGCCTGATCTATGAGTCTCCACCCCGGTGCTTCCACTTAGCACGGACCCACAGAAGAGCCAACATGGCCGAGGAAAGCGAAGTAACTTCTGCTGGTATTTTTCAGGAGATCTTTACTTCTCCTCTCAATCTGACTCTACTCAGCCTCTGTTTGTACCTAATCTACAAAATCTTCCGCGGGGACAAACAACCGGAGCTGGACGAAGCGGACAAGCCGCTCCCTCGAATGAAAAAGAGAGACTTCACCAAGGCAGAACTAAAGCCTTACGATGGACTGGAGAATCCCAGGATACTCATGGCAGTGAACGGTAAAGTGTTCGACGTGACGCGGGGGAAGAAGTTTTATGGACCAGGTAACGTTTGCAACCCTTCCGACTGACAATTTTCTCCACGCAACATTAGCATTTAATGTTTTTCTTTGTATATCAAGTGTTATTGCTTATACAATATTGTGTGTCTTAGTATTTCGACATTATAGTGCTTGTGGCAATTTCATGCAGCTCCAAAAACGAACGTCGCCACGCCTCCCACTCCTCGGTATCTGAGATCTCATTTCACAACAGATCGACTGCTGTAGCCTTGAGAACAGAGATCTTCTATAGAACCAGATGAGCTACTCAGTAGCACAGAAAAGAGGGACATGGACATAACATTACATGAAATCCGAGCCTAAAAATTAGAAAAACGAATATCAAATTGCCATGTAAATCTTTAAAAAATTGACTACAATTTTTGAAATTGCGTGGATTTATTCATCGCCCCTAAAGACATGTTGTGGCATGACTATTTTAACACACTAATTGCATTAACAATGCTACATTTATACAGACAACTTGCAAGAAGCAATGAAAGTTTTAATGTTTTCCACCTCTCTTGTTAAAAAATAAAAACATACAAAACAACATTTAAAAAAGGAAATTAAGTGAAACTGTCAAAATTCTCATTTGCCTGTAGGTAATTTTTACGGGTCTTAATCCCGTTGCAGGACGTATTAGTCTTCAAAAGTAGCTACATCGGCAACGTTTTTCAATAAATAATAAAATGATCTAGTGATTAGCTCAAAGAAAAATTGTCAAGAAGCACACAATTTTAATGAGGCGATGTCATTAGTTGCAGTCATTTCTTGAATACGGCACAGAGTCAGACCTCTGTATTGTATTCTCATTTATGATCATAACCTCTGATGAGCGTAACCTCCGACCAACAAGGACTCTGCGTGACATGTTAACTTTTCACAAACTTAGGACCGTTCCGATGCAGGTTGTTTATACAACCAAACAAGGGCAGGTGTGTGGTTTTGTAACACAATACTGTGTCAACAGTGCAATTACGTTACCATTAACCATTGTTAATGGTAACATTAACTGGTATAAAACTGGTATAAAATCATATTTAAATTATACATACCTCCTCCAGATTTTGTATCTGGTTGTGTTGTTAACATAGTTATGTTCGTTACAATGGTTAATGTTAACATCTAACAATTTGAAACTAAGTCACACGATTTGTCTTTATTTTTTGTATTTTGTTTTACCTACATTTTAATTTGTCTCAACTTTCCATGAGGGGAAGGAAGATGAGAGTTTTTAAAAGATACAGTTTGTTGTATTAGTCTTCTGAATATTAAAACCAACAGAGCTCTTTTCGTTGTTTCTCTTCCAGTTTAATATCTCACAAAAATGCCTTGTGTTTGATTCATCTTATCCATGGACTATCTCTCTGTCTCTCTGTGGTAGAGGGACCATATGGAGTGTTTGCTGGCAGAGATGCATCCAGAGGTCTGGCCACCTTTTGTCTGGAGAAAGAAGCCTTGAAGGAGGAGCACGACGACCTTTCTGATCTGAATTCCATGCAGCAGGAGAGTCTGGCTGAGTGGGAGGCTCAGTTCAACTGTGAGTAACAGAGCCATCACTTTTATCCCATCTACTTCTGTTTGATTCCATATCAAGCCTCATTAATGTACATTAATAGGCCTAAATCCTTGTATTGGACCTATTTATTATGTATTTCTCCGCATGCGTACTTCAGATGTATGAAGTAATTACTCTGTCTACCAGCAGAGGGCACTCATACCACAACTTAATGCTAGGTCCCATTTCTTTCCTATCACTTTAGTCAGTAGTGTTTGTTTGCTAATAGCAGGCACTTTTTCCTGTCTTAATATTAATAACAGGTGAAATACCTGAGAGTTTTTAATATTACAATATTGGAATTGTTTGAAGAGGGTATTCAGGTTTTACATGGTTCCAGTTTTGTTGTTGTAATCACTGTAACATTGCTTTTTCTGTTCTTCTCGTACATTTACTAATATCTGTGTCTGTTTCAGTCAAGTACGATTATGTTGGCAAGCTTCTGAAACCAGGAGAGGAACCCACTGAGTACACAGACGATGAGGAAGCAAAGGACAAAAAGGATGACTAGAGATTACCTACAGGACCAGGAGGGAGAACATGAGAGATGCTTTACAGTTTATATGTAATTTGATGCAGATACCTGCTGTTAGGATCAATGAGAAGAACTGTTATTATCCAAGTTGTATTCCTGTACTTTTCTAACACCAAAAACTTTTGTTTTGTGGCCCTTATATTCTTTTTATCTTTATTGAGTATTTGTGTTTCACATATATATCCACATGCAGGTGTATAGAATGTACAGCATACTCCAATCATTGTCTCCACAGCTGTGGTGTAGGCTTTCTTACAGTTGCTGCTGATATTATATTCTTTGATATTTTTTTTTTGCCTATTTAATGCCTATATTGGTCATGTGTATATAGGATTAAATGGTCAATTATGCACCATTCTCTGGTCAATAATAATAATAATAATCATTCCAATGTGTTAATTTACTCATTCGAACAGCCATGCGCACTTATATGTTGTCTGATCATTTTCTGACAGTTTAAATAGACATCTTATTATTCACTGGTTTGGAGTTCTCAATTGCAGTATATGCAACTTGCCATCTTTTAACATAACTGTGTCAAACTGTAAATAATGTGCAATGATTTAGACACAATAAAAAAAAAAAAACAGGAATAAACACAAATCCAGCACTGCCTGGTTTTAAATACCAGTTGTATTTGGGTAGGTATTTTAGAGTAAATGCCGCAGTAAGCACTTATTCCTCACAACATCATTCCAGACTATGAAGATATTCTATATTATTAGCCTTTCTTGCAAACTGGTTCTGTTTAAACGGGTTCAGTGAGGGCAAGCTCTCTGTGTGCACACAACAATCTGAATATCATTGTGATGTTATACAGTTAAACTGACATTTTATTCAATAAAGGGGAAAACTAAATATTTATTCTGTTTAAATTGTACTATTGTAGTCTCACAGTTGTTTCAAAACCTCAAATCTTTCAAAACCAATTTCTAAATTAAGGGCAAAATAAATAGTTAACACAAAATTCACAGTCACAAATATACAGTATCTAATTCAGAAATGTTAAACTACATACATAGAATAATTTACTTAATAATGATTATTATTATTTAGTCGTGTATTATTTTGATCACAGTACATTACATCATCAAAAATCACTTATAAAACCAATTATAATCATTCAGTTTCTTAAATTAGTTTTCTGTTACTTTTCATCAAGATTTTTTTCTTTTAAGATGACAAATAATATAAGACTAGTATTTTTTTGTTGTAAGTTAGAAAGTAATGAAAAACCAGAAGCATACTAACAATAAATATGTATTTTTGCATTTTACTTAGGTGAATAAACAAAATATTAATTTGTGTAAAAATATGTTGACCTTGTTTAAACATAAATTGTTACGTGCGCTATATCTATATCCTAAAATTTTGAGTTTTCATTGCAAAAAAAAAACTAATACCTATAACTAGAGATGCACCGAAAATCCAATCAAGAGTATTACAATGTCAGACACTTGATTGGATTCACCGCATTACACGGTAGTATATTACCTCGTACCATGAAGTAAAAAGTCAACGAAAATAATGTGTCAGAAGTGGGATTCGAACCCACGCCTCCATTCGGAGACCAGAATACCCGTTTAAGCGGAAGGAGCTTATCCTTGAGTCTGGCGCCTTAGACCACTCGGCCATCCTGACACGCTGACTATCACGACTTTATACATGTATTTATACAATAACATGTTTGTCAAACTATCAGTGAATGTGATAGTTTTGTGAAACATGCATTTGTGAGTAAATGGACAAATTATTGTTGGTTCCTTTTATTCCTCCAAACGCTAGTTGTGTACTTTGTTACCCTTTAAAACAACGTCACTGCAGATAGTTTCTACGCATGCTCTTAATCGAGATTTCAACTTCCGCTCTGTGTACGTGCGGCGGCCATAACATTTCCGTCTTTCAAGGGTAACCGAAGGTACCAGTCGGCTCACCATGTACCGCTTTACGAAAGCTGCAGTCAACGTAACAAGTAAGTAGTCTAAAATAATATATGAATGTAGCTTCGTTTATTGAGAATAAGGATTTATATGTTTACTTCACTTATTTTTGCGGCTCGTCTGCACGGTGACCGCAGCGTGCTAACAGTTCGTAAAGCTATGCTAGCTTTAGCGCCTAGCAATGCATTTTAGTGTGTTGAATTACTCTTTTTTTAATAATGTTTTATTTAGCGTCGTTAGCTTATAGACTCTTAATCATCTGAGGTTCAATTAATCGTTTGATGTTCTAGTGAGGCTTCCTTCGCGTGACGCCATAGACGGAAAAATAATCATATTGGAAACGCAATTGATTGTTGGGCTGTTTTGACCAGACCTTGGTGTTATTCTCGGTATATTGACATTACTGAAAAATTTGGGCGAGCCCTTTTAAAATGTAAAAGTGGAGCAGTGAGAGGACAAACAAGGGCGAGCCCTTTTATAACATTTTCATAGTTCTGGCAACAGACTAGAAATTGCCTTTTGATTTTTTTTAAATGTAACGCAAACGGTGCTTCTTTGTCCAATTTCAAGTTTAGTTTCGTCACATCTTACACATCACTCATATCATCATTAATTTATATCCCAGTGATATGTATTTGCTGTCTGTATTGTCTATTTACTGATTCATTCTAAACCAGGGTTAAATCAGGTAACAGTATGCCTTAAATACAGTGCTCTTGAATCGTCAATACGCAACAGCACCAGACGCTAATGCTGTGCTGTTAGGTGTAACCATTTAGACTAAATAAAAGTAGCATTGCCTTTGACTTATGGATCTCTTAATATATGCTACATAGTAATAATTAAGGTGGTAAGCTGAAGCCATAGTTGGGTGCCCAGCAGTCATCAGATGAGGGCTGGGTACACCCTGGATGGTTGGCCAGGCCATCACAGGTCAGCACAGAAAGACAAATATCCACAACAGATAATTTTATTTCTTTGTGTAATTTTGATGCATACGCTGTATTTCCTATCAACCAGGCCAGGCAGTGCGCCAGGTGAGGCATGCATCCTCCGTCCGCCAGGACTTCCACTCCAAATATGGAAACATGCTGCTGGCTGGTGGAGCTCTTTTCTGTACATCTGTGTGGTCATATGTAAGTAATGCTGTAACATCAATTAGGTAATCTCTTAATGTTAAGAATGCAACATACAGTGATGCTGAATTTCTAGTAGCATATGGTAATACATTTGGGTTTGGCAGTTACATTGGGTTCCATATATGCACCTTTGTTGTACTTAATATTATATATCTTTAAATATTTCACTGAAATCTTCCTCCCTAGATAGTAACATTATTTTATTTTTAGTGAACTTTAAGCATATTTGAAAAAGAAAAAGTAATTTGTTTCCTGTTTAATTTGTGTGTTTTTTGTTTTTGTAAAGGTGCTGACACAGACAGGCCTTACCTGGAATCTTTCACCTGTTGGGAAGGTCATGCCAAAAGAGTGGAGAGAGTGACAATTGAAAAGTCATCATGACAAACAAGTCTCGCTCCATAAAACTTCTGGTTGTACAGATTAGCAACTGCCCTCTCTGACTGTGTTAATTCCAACATGTTATTTTTGTCCAAATAAATTAAACAATTTACAATGTCCTTTTTGGATGTTTTTACATACACTCATCTGACTGATTTAGTATACTATTAAATTAAATCATCTAATTTCCTTTAATAAATTGTCCTTCCATATCTGCAGATTCTGTGACAATGTGGTAAATGGATGAATGGAAAACTATGATACATAGAAGGTATTTTACTGGTAAATGTTGTGGCTACTTTAAAAAAGTGAAAGGAGGCAGAGAGCAGTTAATTAAAATGTATACGATTTCCAGTGTTTCCAATGTTTTTCAGGATATTTGCATAAAGTCTGATAAAGCTAAAATGATTTTGTAATGCATATAAATATTTTAATAGATCATATAGCATTGTGAAAAGGCTACACATTTATAGAATGTGTATCTTTCAAAATAATAATCATTGAAATGTGAAAATCGTTGGTCATACCATTTTGAATTCACAATGAAAAACCAAGCAATATGCTCACATTGAACTTATCTTATATTCTTTTAAAAGATAAAGTTAGCTGAAAACAATTGTATTGTGAAAAGTCATGGCATTTCATACGCCACTGTAACTGTCGTCTACGTCAAATGACGGCTAACAACTGAATCCAATCAGCGCGGAGCTGTCCTTTCGCTGCATCAAATCACATACAGGAAAGGCATTTGTCCCGCCTTACCGGTGTCCCTAAGAGCTGTGTTAAGGTCATTGCTGTTACTCTGTGTCTAACCAACAGCAGGAGACGAAGGAGACCCTGCAAGAAAGGTAACGGTGAAGCAGCAGAAGCAGCAACATGTCTCTGTCCAACAAACTTACCCTGAACAAGGTGGACGTGAAGGGGAAACGCGTCATTATGAGGTAAGACTTTTATACCCTCTTTTATGCTAACGTTCTGGAGCAATCAGACAGGACTAGTGAATAATGGGATTATTTGACGTTAGGTAACCGATACTACGAGTTCTTCGCCATAATGCCTCTGAAAACGGGTTGTTTTCGGGATTTTGCTCCGATGTGAGGACACGAGTGTGAGGCTTGAGTTCATTTAGAGCCTCTGCTAATGTGAGCACAGAGGACAGGAAGTGAACTTGATGGTTGTCACGTTTTTCCATCCGTGTTACGTGTCTGTGAGAAGATGCTGCATGGATGCTACCTACATCACTGCAGTCAGATCCAAATCATCCACATGAGCTAAAGGGCTGCTAACGCCCAATTTACTAACGTCGACCAGTATGGATACAGAATATGTGCAATGTTTGCTAGCATGTTTAGAATGTTAGTATGTTTTGGCGTCATTTTCATTGTTAAAAACATTTATTGTAAAATAGAATACATATAACCTCTGTTAAGTATTAACGTGATGGTTCCCAAATTGTATTTAAGTATTTGTTTGTATGTCAAGAGTCAACTGGTTATTAAATATCTTATCGTGAATTCTTGACATTTAGATTTACCCCATTTTTTTTCCAGCCAGGCCATTACTGTTACAAAACTAGTTATAAACTTGTGTAAGAGTAAACGATGGATGTAATGAATGGACGTGACCACTTAGTTGGTTTTGCATGTAGTTCTCCTTATATTAGACTAATCTTACTGCGACAATGCTGCCCATCCTGGTGTAGCAAGACATATTGAACAGTTCTCACTGTATTATTAATTTCCTGATGTTATATGAAAGTTTAAAGGCTGTACAAAAAAAATAGAGAACGATGCAGTAACATTTTAAATTATCAATTATCTTAAAGCACGGAAAGATGATTTTGGAACATAACTAATGTTAGTAATGTACATTTTAAATTTTTAAATTGATCACTTTTGTTACATATGAGATTAGAAAATATTTCTTAAAAAAACAGATCAGATTCTTCTTTGAAGTCTGATTTAAATCAGTTTTTTTCCCTACTTTATTCCTATGGTATTGTCAATGCCAAACTTAAAAGGCCCGCTGGCAATGTTCATGCACTTGAAACTGACACCAGTGTGGAAATGTCACAGGGGCCATTTTGGTTCATTCAGCTTGGTGGCAGTGGTGCAACAACAGTAGGCATAGGACAAGGTTCACTAACAGCCCCCCGCCTTAGTGCTTTAAGGCCATGTCTCTTTGAATCAGACTCAGCATTGACTGTGACTTGATTCATTTCACAAACTGACCTTTCATAGCATGGTTGCTGTGGGAGTTTTAGGAAACTTTAGCTGCAGCCATAGTGTTGTACTGAGGTTGTACAACATTCAACATTTTTGTATCACCACTGACATTTAATAAATATTAATCTTCCATATGACTCCCATTTTTTTTAAAACTCTGTTAGTGCTCCCTTGCCTGCATTAACACTATTAGCCAGCAGACAGTGGCTGTAAAAGGTTTTAGCTTCTCTTATGAAATGAATGTCGTAATGTCTTACCTACAATCTATAGGCTTCAAATGATAAACTCAGGCATTGAAATGTCACTCTTGGTAGATAACAATGTGTGTGTTCATACACAGCTGAACTGCTGACTCTTGGGTTCAGACAATCAGACAAAGGATTCCAGTGTGCTGGTTCGGTGTGTAGTGCATCAGGTCCTCAGACACAGAGGAGTCAAGTGTGTTTGTTATGTAACTGGCCGGAGCAGCAGCAACTTCCTGTCACCTCCAACAGTGATGTGTTCTGAGCAGCACAAGTGAATACAAATGCTGCAGTGGACAAGAACAGTGGACAAAAGACTTTCACCTCATGTAAATAGATTAGCATGGACCGACTCTCAGCATTAATCTAGTTGTATTTTAGGTCAAGAAAATTATGGTAAATTTAATTGAATCTAATAGCCATGACTATAAAAAGTCATATTTTTAGAGGAGAAAAGTTTTTTGTACCTAAGAAATATACCTCACGACAAACACATCAGACATCAGTTCGTAGCACAGACCAGAGATCGTGCCCCATCTCTGTATACTGTAGCGCTAAGCACCCACTGATTTGATAGAGCTGTACTCTTCTAAACACATTGAAAGCACAACTGAATTTTTTTTGTCCTTAAATCACATTTTATTTACATTATTATAAACTGTGCTCCTTATTTATATTTGTTTTGTTACAGGGTTGACTTCAACGTTCCCATGAAGGACAAACACATCACCAACAACCAGAGGTAAAGCTCATTAACCTGTTGTTGTCATGGTGTAAATATGTGCACTGCCACAACCTTTGAGAAATCAACAGGTTTTCTAGAGTTAAGTTCTGAATTGTAAGACATTTGATTTTGAGAGCCAGAAAATACTATCTCTTTGGTTTTTAGGATCAAGGCGGCAGTTCCCAGCATCCAGCACTGCCTGAACAATGGGGCCAAATCTGTGGTGCTGATGAGTCACCTGGGACGTCCTGATGGAAACTTTGTGCCTGAGAAATATTCCCTGGAGCCTGTGGCTGCTGAGCTCAAGACCCTGCTGGGAAAGTAGGTTCATGAATGAATGAATGAATAAAACGTTGTTACTGCGGTACAAGAATATGAATATCTAAGGTCAAGAAAGGATGTGATTGCAATATTTCTGGGACAGTATGATTAGTTCCTTTCACAACAGACTGAAAATACTTTACCACATGTTTTGTTTACAAATAGATTTTCATGGCAATAAAGCATAACATAAATAGTAACTTTTTTTTCTGTGTTTCCTCAGGGACGTCACCTTCCTGAAAGACTGTGTTGGTGCAGAGGTGGAAGCTGCCTGCGCTGACCCAGCTTCTGGATCTGTTATCCTGCTGGAGAATCTGCGGTTCCATGTTGCAGAAGAAGGAAAGGGCAAGGATGCTTCTGGAAACAAGGTTACTGTTAAAAGGCTTGTCTTGACAGTGAGAGTGGAGAATGATTGTCATGGCCTATTAACGGTTGCTATAGTTTACGGTCAGTGTTGTAATTGTGATCACTGCACTGTGTGAACGATTGATGTTTGAACAGCAGCACTGTTGGTTCTTGATTCACGCTGCTTATTTGTTACATGTAGGAAAATGCACAGTCACTCCAGCTGCAGTGTCTGTCTCAAACAGCTGAGTCATTGTATCGTGATGTCATGGTCAGAAGTGCTGCAGTGTCTGTGAAGATTCAACTTGCTGATCAGCATTTTTAAATTAGGTTTTTTGTGTCCCGCTCTTTGTTTTCATGTCTTTGAGAGCTGATAAATTATGATAAAAAAAAAAAACGTTTTCATGAGATGCTTTTCTTTGTTTTCATGTCTTTGAGAGCTGATTATGATAAATAAAAAAAAAACATTTTCATGAGATGCAGATGCTTGATATGGAAACTGATCCTGGTCTTGAATCAGTTCTGCTCCTGGTCCCTCCATGGACCAGCTGACATTTATCTTGAAGGTCAAAGGGCGTGTTGCTTTTCCTGTCCTGAGAGACCTTGATGCTATGCAGCCTGGTTCAGTTTCTACTGTACTGCACTGCTCTATCACTGATGTCGTTGTTATTAAATTTCTCTTATTCCACAAATCTTCAAAATTTAATGTAACAATATTTCTGTTAAGAAAGAAGCAGAAAATTGAATGGAATCTCCCAGCATCATACATCAATGTTGTTGAGGCTAAAGAGTTGTTTCACAAAGTAAAATCTAATGGCTTAGGATGTGACCTGATACTGAAGAGTTATGCTGACCTTTGTCTGACCTCTAGCTTCACTCTCACAACCTTAGCAATTAAAGTGCATTAGGAATCTGATCCCCAAAGACTGACATGAATAAAAACTGGGATACTGACCTACTTACCTCCAAAAGTACATTTGAGATACAGTATAATTTATTGTTTCCAGATATCGATGACGCTGTAATGTGACTTTTTCTTCAATAGTTTTTAAACCTACTTTGTAATCGTAATAACCTTTATCTTCTTATGTCATTGTTGTTTCACTAATATTCCCTCATCTCCTGTCATTGTTGTCCCTCAGACCAAAGCCTCTCAGGAGCAGATTGACTCCTTCAGGGCGTCTCTGTCCAAACTGGGTGACATTTACATCAACGACGCCTTCGGCACTGCTCACAGAGCCCACAGGTAAGCAGGACTCTAGCTTCTCTCTTTTTAGATGTTTAGATGAAAGCACTGAGAAAACCACTTTTATTCATTCACCTCCTGCCCTTCTGTTTAGATGAAAGCACTGAGAAAACCATATATCTATATCTATCAAATGTTCCTCCTCTGAACCTCCCAGCTCCATGGTGGGAGTGAATCTTCCCCAGAAAGCTGCCGGTTTCCTCATGAAGAAGGAGCTCGACTACTTTGCCATGGCTCTGGAGAAGCCCCAGAAGCCCTTCTTGGCCATCCTTGGCGGGTGAGTTTTATTCACCTGAGCGACCATACTGATATGCCATATGCCATACGCCCATAAGATAATGTGAGTGAGCTGTGTTCATGTTTGTTGTAAATTAAAGTTTATTTTCTGCTCCTGCTAGAGAACTTTTTTTTTCTATGCTGTGATTTCCATTGAGTCAGATACTGTAGCTCATTCTTGTTTTTATATACGGTCTATGATTGCAAACAAGTGTTATTCCTCAAGTTTAAAAAACATTACCCTTTTAAAGAATGTGGTGTCCTTTATCCCCTGTCACCTCCTGAGACCATAAGCTCGTTATATAACCAGTGTGCCGCTGTCTTTAAGACAGCACTATGTGCAGACCAGAGGCCACACCTACTAGTTATGTAGTTGTAATAATTTGTGAATATAAGTGACTTCTTTTAACACTGTATTGTGATAATGTTGGAGCTGTAAGCTCTGGAAAAAGACACGTGTGTGTCATATCTGTACTCAGGGTCCTCTTCTGTTCTGTCTGTGTTTTAGAGCAAAGGTAAAAGATAAGATTCAGCTGATCAACAACATGTTGGATAAGGTGGATGAGATGATCATCGGAGGGGGCATGGCCTTCACCTTCCTCAAAGTCCTCAACAACATGGAGGTGAGGAAACCCTATGTGCAGTGTGTAAGAAACGTGAGCAGCTGCTGCTAATGAGAACCTGCAGCATCGTTGCTGCCTTTACATAGTGTGTAAGAAACGTGAGCAGCTGCTGCTAATGAGAACTGTGGCCTGCAGCATCGTTGCTGCCTTTACACGTCAGTGGTAAAGCAAACACACAGCAGGAAGTAAGAAAATTCTCTGAGGTGAAGCAGGATTCCTGCTTGTCATGGAGAAAGTTCTGAGTTCAATTACTTGTAGTTTGAGGTCCCAGGGTCAGTTGTGTCTGGAAGGTGTGGCAAAACACTACAGACTACCACAGAGGTGACCCCTGGTGGACAGATTGGTCAAAAGTGATTCTAGTTCTATTATTTAAAGTAGTAAAGGCAATAAACGTTTTTTAAAAACAAAGTTCCTCCTTCTCAACCACATTCTAAGTATTTTTTAAAAAAGTATGATGTTACTACACACTTCAGGGCAAGAGTTGTTTTCTGGGAAATTTGGTAGACATTTGGAGGCCACATTTAGTTTTAATTTGATCAATTAGAATTGAAAAACATTTTTTACATGACAGTTCTAAAATCACATTTTGAAAGATTAAAAAAATAAAAGAAACAACCTTGTCTTTATCACTCACCACCACTCAAGAAGGTTGTGAAACTGCTGGGTTACGTTAGCGGAACTTGTGTAATCATGTAAAAGACCTAGTGGTCGATCTCTGGTATAAACATCTGAAGCTTTGTGAACGTGATTCTCCATCTCTGTCGTGACTCTAATAAAGGGAAGTAGTTGTTGCCCAGATTATTCTGAGACATTTAATCTGTCAGTTAATATTTGTGGCTGTTCTGTGGACTTTAACTTGATAAGGTTGTCAGTTTGGTAACAAATAAAGCCATTCCTCCTGTGGCTTCATTTTAGCACTTTTTAAAAAGCTATGATTTAAAGCCAGAAGTGTTTATATGCTATCAGAGATCTGTCAAACTTTTCTGACTTTACTCTGGTTCTGCTGCTCAAGTTCACTCCCCCTTGTTTCCTCAGATCGGTAATTCCCTGTACGATGAGGAGGGGGCTGGTATCGTCAAAGACCTGATGGCTAAAGCTGAGAAGAATGGCGTCAAGATCACGTTGCCCGTCGACTTTGTCACCGCTGACAAGTTTGATGAGAAGGCTGCCACTGGCACCGCCACAGTCGCTGCCGGCAGTCCTGTTGGATGGATGGGAGGGGGACGGGGTTATGTATTCCTTCCATATGAGCTTCAATCAGACCTTTCATTTTTATGGTGGTTCTATGGTTGGTTATTTGCAGGGTTTGGACTGTGGACCAGAAAGCTCCAAACATAATGCCGAGGCAGTGTCCAGAGCCAAGCAGATCGTGTGGAACGGCCCGGTCGGCGTGTTTGAGTGGGAGAACTTTGCCAAAGGGACAAAGAACCTGATGGACAAAGTGGTGGAGGTGACCAAGAATGGCTGCATCACAATCATCGGTAAGAAACACAGGAAGACATTGTCTCACCTTGTTCTGCTGTCAACATGGACAATCAAACTACACCAACTCCATCAAGCAAAATGTTTAGTTACAGTTTTACCTTTTCTTTCATATTTCACATAGTGGTAAAGTTTAATGAATATATTTATTTCCAGGTGGGGGCGACACTGCCACCTGCTGTGCCAAGTGGAACACAGAGGACAAGGTCAGCCACGTGAGCACTGGGGGTGGTGCCAGTCTGGAGCTGCTGGAGGGTGAGTGACCAAACAGAAAAGAGAGGTCATTTTTGTTAATGACGTTCTATAGACCTGATGCTGACTCGCTGTCTTCCTGTCCTCAGGTAAAGTCCTGCCTGGTGTGGATGCCCTGAGCAGTGCCTGAACTTCCCATCAGCCCACTGCTTTGTGGAGTGAATGAGAGAGAGAGTGAGTGTGTGTGTGAGAAAGGTGAGTTGCGCTTCAGTCAGACTAGTTTTCTCCTGAATTATCATGAAAAAAAAAATCCTTTCCTGCTTCCTCGTGTTTCATTTAACACTGGCAAGTCATCGTTGATGTCCGCCACAAGTAGACCTCTCTGTTAGAAGGTGTAGGATTAACGGTTATCGGAGACATTTGTTTGCTGAGGTGATGACTTGTATCAACCTGCTGAAATGACAACAAAGACTTTCCACAGTGTCACTGTTGCTACAGTTAGTCGTCATCTTCTGTCGGAGAAACTTGAACACTGTTGGCTGTGGTGTGTGTGTTTGTGAGAGTGTGTGGGTGTGTGTGCGCTGCTGCGTCACCTTCCATAGCTGCCCTGGAGCATCACGGCACCACTGAGAACATATAGATTCCATATAAATATATATAGTGGTTGTGAGTGTGTGTCCCTAGATGTTCTATTTTCTGCCTGTTCACACTAACGTTGGCACTGGTCCTTCCGTCTCTGGCTGTTGGTTTCTGAGCAGCATCAGACTGAGAGACGTCACTGTTCTCTGCTGATCTGCTCAGGTTAATAAAAGGTCTCCATGTTAAACCTTTTCTAACTGTTTCCTTATTCTTATCTCCATGCTGAGACTATCAAAAACAACCAGGAGGTCCGGCCTGCGTTTGAGGAAGTCCGTTCAACACAGGTGGGAATGTAAATATATAAGATGTTTCTGGCACTGGGAGTATTTCGGAGGGTGGAATGCACGAAGAAAAAAGTTTTTAAAGCACATGACCTCTTCAGTTTTCAGTTAAAAAAATGCTGTTTATTCTCTAATGTTGTCTTCAAACCCAGGAACCTGTTCCATTTGTGTCTGTTGGGAAAGTAGTCGTTTTCAACCGTTACATACAAATGTACTACGCGTCGGACAAAGTATTTTTAAACGTTTTACTACCTATTATGTCAGTGAAGTAAAAAAAAGTAAACGGTTTTTATCGAACTCTGTAACACTTCCAAACCAACAGGTGGCACCAGATAGCAAACAATCTAAGTATCATAGCAAATGAAGGTTTTCTTTATTTTGTCAAAATTCTTCAGTTGCCAATTAGAGAATTCAACGTGTTTCAAGTTCTCCCTTTAGTATTTACAAGAGCTTAAGCAAAGTAAGTAACAACTGCATCCTATAAAGGAATTTTAATGAAGTAGAACGCACTAGAAACGTAAGTGAAAATTATTATCGCAGGCTGAGTGACTTCAGTTTTTATGTAGTTCAAATAGGATGCATTAGGAGAATAACGATAACATTTACTTACTTCTAAAGTCATCGAAATAAAAATACGCGTTTCCAAAGTTGGCCTATTTGGTCTCATCTGTACCACTAGATGGCGGCCTTAGATAATATGAATACAAACAACTGCCTTTTAGTAAATTATTATTTATTATAAAAAATATTCACCAGACTGACCAAGTTTTTACATTAAACGTAGAGTAGAGAGATCGTCTCCAATTTGACGAGCTCAACACCCATTCACATAATCGGGCTCATCTGTTATAAAAAGAAATAAAACGTGTAATGTAAGTTATTGTAAGTGAAAAATACATGGAATCTTAATGTATCAAGAGCATGAACTCTTTTACCAAAAGCTGCTGCTCTGAATAATTAATAATTATTAATGAGCATATAAAAAAACACACCCAACCAGATGTTATTCAAACCAGACTCACCGTCTTCATTTTCTTCTTCTCCCTCTTTGTGAAAGGTTTGTTTGCTGAAGTCTGTGTTTACATAGTATTCCTCATCTGTTTGGTTACAACAGCAAATTTAGTTCTGATGAATTTGTGATCCAGAAGAATTACTGCCTTTTTTTTTTTTCTTTTTGATACATACCCTCTTGTATTTGTAACGTTTGGCAAATATTTGCATAAACTCCAACTGATTGAGGGCATTGAACAAACAAACACAAAAAAATAATTAACCATCTGTGGTGAAGGAAGAAAATATGTTTTGTTTTTGTTTTTTTCTGTTAAAGAGATACATTTGTTCTGAAAACAAAAAGAAGCTCACCAGCTGTAGGGTTTGTGGTTTGTTCATTGTCATATACAGCAGTTGGAAGCGCAGCTCTGTAACACAGTTCACACATACAGTACGTGTTGTCAACTCATTGTTCTCTGTCTTTTTATTCAGGCACACGAAAGTCAACTCACATGTACATATGATCCACGTTTCCTGTGTGAGGCGCTGTGGTGCTGACTGAGGGTGTTACTAAAAAGAGAGTAAATGTTGCTTTTTGGGGGGTAATATGAATCACAAACACTAAGAGAAAGAAAATCACATTCACCTTCTATAATGTTTTCATAATCTGGTTGGTCATCGCCTGCGTCTGTAACACACCGTGTTATTGTAATTCACATTGTAGCTGTTGAATGGAATACAAACCACACACACACACACACTGATCCGTTGAATGTCTGACAGTAAAAATGTAAACGATTAATTATATAAACACAGACTTAAAACTTTAATTTGACAGACAGTAACCACATGTACTAATGGTGCTCTTTTTTTAAATTCATTTTCTTATTGTTGAATCAGCAACCGTCTCAGACGTGTTCCCTGATCTCTCCTAAATGACCTTTGCCTTACTGAAACCTGACGTGTGTTGCAGGCCTCATATTGTAAATGATTTTATCTTTAACAGGTGGAATACAGTTGGTCAGTAAAAACACTTATTAGATATTTTCTTGCTTAATAAAATAAAAATTAAATACAAAAAACAAACAGGACAAGAAAAAATCTAAACCACTTACCTGCTGATACTTCCTCACAAATCTGACTGAAAGGAAGACAAATTCAGATTTGCAGGCTTGTACTGATAAAACTTTTTTTTTACATACAGTATATTTGTTTAAAAAACATTGATGTAAAATAAAGCAAAACATACGTGTGTATTGTTTTAACAGACTGTACATTTCTGGATGTGTGTGATACTCACGCTGTGGATGAATTAAACGGCCTGCCTGTGGTAACTGAAGACAAATAAAAGAATTAGCTGATAAATTAACAGAGGGTTGAACAGTCCCAGATATTTGAATGTGGTTGATGTATGTACTTTACCTGGTTTAGACTGGATCACAGCAAAAATACTTCCACCACGTTGGCTGTTAAGACAGAATTTACCGTGAAATGGTTTGTTGGTTGTTTTTTTTCTCAGATTTGAGATTTTAATTTTCTTGTTAACAACATATACATTTTCTCAGTATTTCCCACTGAGATCTAAGTATCACCACTCACTGAACAATAACAATGTAAATGATAAAATATAACATTACTCACAATGTCTGCAGGACTCGTGTCGGACGCTCCTCATGTATGACCTCTGCAAGGAAAACCAAATCCAGTGACACTATAGCACAGTCATCCACATGTGGAAACTAATGGACCAAGAGCGAGTGGTAAGATCACAATTAAAACCACAAATGTTCACAGGTCCATTTTTTTCAAGTCACATCTCAAGTCTTTGTACTCAAGTTCAATAAGAAGACCAGGATCTACCTGTAGATCTCAAAGGTTGTGCTGGTGGATCAAGAGCAATAACATTTAAAAAAATTAATGAATTAAATTATAGATGTAATTCTATTTTAAGATGCTAATCACTAGGGCTAAAGTAAGGACCATAGAAGTATTGAGTACTGAGTATTGTGCCATACAACTGCAACCATTTAATCAAAGTAGTAAATATATATTTGAAGTTTTCAATGTAGGTAGATCACTTTCCCCTAGTCATTTAAAAAGTAGCTCCCAAGACAGAAAAGTGTGGACACACCACCTGCTCAAGTTCAACACAAATCTCAAGTCTTTCAGGGGCAACTCCAAGTCACGTCTCAAGTCTTTTGACCTAAGTCCAGGTCTAGTATCTTAATTAATTAATGAATAAAATGAATGTTCTTTCACCAGATGTGTGCTATCTAGCTATAGTCTATATAGAACTGCTTTAATGTTTGCTGTAAAGTCCTAAACCTCAAGTCCAAGTCAAGTATTTTGCAGCTGAGTCTGGAATGAGTCTTTGTGTGAACCACAGACCAAGTCTCAGACTCCAGTCTTCACCTGTGGTTCAAACACATGTAAAACTCACCTGGACATGGTCTACAAATACTAAATCGTTAAACTGTCAGTCTCATTTTCCTCTTTATATAATTCAGCTGCCTTCAGCTTACTTACAATGGCAGCATTTTACTTTTTACTAAAGAAGGACTAGTGAATCTCAAGGGTGAATTTTATCTGACATTTGCACTTACTGGACTTCCTTTTACACCGCAGACAGAGAAGGGACAGCAGGCTCAGTGAAAACACTGACATCACAGTCAAAACTGAAGTCAGCAGACCGGGGTTTCCATACATTTCTGCAAGACACAGAGTGATGGTGAGTTTTCCGTTCTGACAAAAAACGTGTGTGTTTCTGTCACTGTTCAAGAAGCGTCCACCTCACAGGATGTGGTCGGGTGAGGCAAAAATGATAACCATGACTGCAGGGCCAGGTGGGACCTCAATGTGCTACTCATTTATGTGTTTTAACCATCACAGAGCTGTGAGATGTGAGAGGACGAAACAGAACTATTGTGCAGCTTTGTTTTTTGGTTAACCAGTAACCGTTCTACACAGAGGACAGTGTAACAAAATAGAATAGAATAGATTAGGAAATTATAGGATTTTTGTCATTGTTTTCACCTCATGTAGGATTTAAATTTTATCTTGATTGTGTTTTTTAAAAAAGGAAAAAATCACAAAGCAAAACTCTCACAAAACCACATAATCAAAGTCAAGTTTAGGCCCCATGAAAATAATTTTTACTTTGGCCTTTACTGAAGGTATTTTTGACTATCATTCCCATTCATTGCCTTGGCGTCATATTATTTTATGTCATGTTGTAGTTTTTTTTTCTTTTACTATTTCACTCTTCTTAATGATCACTCTGTAAATAATCTGTTTAGAAAAGTCTCTCTCCTGAACATCTCTATATTAACAACAACTGCCTTTCCACTCTTCTTCCTCTTTAAAGATGCTCCTACTTCCTGTTTACGATTTCCCTGCACGTCTTAGTTTACCATTTTTCCAAACTGTGCTCTCAACACTCTCTGCTCCCTTATGTCTTTCTAAATATACAGTGGCGTTTCTAAAATTTTCAAGTTTTAACTAAGTACAATTTATAACAGAAACCTGTCCATAAATAAAAAATAATATCTGCTTACATTAGTTATTTCATTGTCAACTTCGTAGGTCAAGTAATGTCTGTAGACATGTTCCTTTGGTGTTGCAAAAAAACTACTGCGACAGGACATTAAGCAAGTTTGATGTGTCAAGCAGTCCAAGGCAAAAATAGAAAAAAACATTTCTCATACTTGTCCATGATTTTTACATTTTACAAAATATCTAGAGAGTCTGTTGTAGACATTCCAATTTCAGGCGAAAAAGTTTAAAGATAAATTTTCCATTGAATAATCCACGCTTGGCTTAATAACTGATGACCTCAATTAAACGTTAAAATGATTCCTCCTGCACTACAGTACCTGCTTAACCACAGATATACATTAACTTCACTTTGTTATAATTACAGTCATTTGAGCCACATCCCCTTTTACACAAGTCCTGATATGAGAAATCCTCAAACCACACTGCTTCTTATTCATCTCTATCATTTTCTGCATCATCACATTCTGCATATAAAACACAAGTCACTAACACTTTTATTTTAACACATTTTTTCTATTTTTTGGCTATCCACGTTATCTCTTTCCTAAAATATCCATCTATTCTAAGACGTGATTGGCTGTCATGTTCAGACAGCCTATGGCCTTGTGGTTAATTTTTCCTTAGGGGAGTGAAAGACCCCCGAAAATTATCTGTATATCAGAGGTTCTCAAACTGTGGTACGTGAGCACTCTCAAGTGGTATGCGGGAATAATTATATATTTATTTACTACAACAAATTATATTACATCCCATTAAAAACAGGGAGACACAAATCAGTCACAATACACATAAGTTCGAGAGTATCCAACCTTAGTCAAATCAATCCATTCAAGCGTTTTACTTTATTCAAGCTCTTCAACTTAGGATAAAACACAAACATTAACTTGAACTGCTTTCATTCCTAATCACAAACAAACACAATTATTAAAATTAAAACTTCAGTATTGTTTTACCTTCAGGGTCCAGCTGTCTTCATCATATACTGGCTGAAGCAGAGACTGTGTTTCCTCTTTCAGAAAACCAACCCACTTCCGTCACAGTCATGACTGACACAACCTCCTCAAAGCCCACATTCACAATGTGAAAAAAACAGGACCCTGCATGTGATTTTTTTTTTTACCACAATGTCAAATGTAATTTTTTAAATCCAATCCAAAATGCATCAGCTAATGAATTAAAACATGGGTGCAAGGTAAAATCTTAATTTCTACAACAAACTTATTTAAATAGAATCTTATATAAATAGATAAAATTCGGTTAAACCTCACCAACTGCAGTTTATAACGCTTATGATGCAAAATATTCCAAATGTTATTACTCAGATTCTGGGGCGTCAAAGACAAATGTTAGATGGTAAAAGACACACACAAAAAACACACAAAGTAAATAATACAAGTTCAGGATACAATGTTTTGAGATACAGTTGTAGAAATGAGGAAGTGAGATTTCTGGAGGTTTTGGTCATTAACAGACTAAATAAAAACAGTGAATCAAGGCAACAACGTGAACTTAAAAACTGACAAGTCTTCTGTATTAATATGTCTCTATAGGACTTTACTGTATCTTAAATCATTTTGTTTTTAATTTATGGTTCACATCATTCCTAACTATTCTCAGCTATATCTAGAAAGATAGATTTAATTTAAACAATTTTTAAAATGAATTATTCTATTATTAACCAACCTGTTTTCTTTATCCTCCTATTATCTGTCTATGCACTACTAATAGCAATCAGGCAAGTGCGTGCAGTATGTGTATTCATTAGGTCACACAGCAGAGGTTCGTTGTGTGCTGTGTCACAATGACAAGTAGTTCTCTCTTTCCTTCCTTCCTTAAACATCCGTATCAACCAAAAAGCACCAATGTCTACCTATATACAGCCTAAAACTAAAATATATGTACTACTTATGTAATTTAGTATTGTTAGGGACATTTTAAAAGCCTAACAACAAACGTGTGATGTAATAAATTATAACTTTCAGAAGTGCCTGGAGGTGTACTCCTACTTCCGGTTTACTTCTAGTACGTCACGATTTAAACCTTTTCTTTGTTATTACTATAATTAGAAAAATAGTCAGGAGGTTAAACATCCGTGCTACCAATCACAAACTTGTCGTGCAAAAAATAAAATTGTATTAGATTTATTCTATTTCTTTTTTTTATCATTTGTTTATGACATTTTGTTTTGTAGGAGATTATCTTTTACTTCCGCTGGTGTTGGGAGTGTCCCTATAACCCCGCCTTCCAGTTGTGCAGCGCATGAGCATTGGTCTCTGTTGTTGTTGTGAGTCTCCGGTTGTGGCACCAGCCGTCCTCCTGTAATTACAGAGCTGCTCTGTCGCTCGTATGCAGCAGAATGGCTCCAGCGGCTCTAACGGTCATGAAGGCTGCAGCAGAAGCGGCAGCAGGGAGCGACAGTCTCCGTCACTCAGCCCGCTGCTGCCCTCCGCCACTACACGGGTGAGGCGCTTCATTCAGGAGAGACGAACGCTGCCTCTACCCAGAGTGATGGTGGTATTCTCCGGCACCGGGAACAGCGAGAAACCGAGCGATGCCATGTCCAGCTCGGACTCTGCGGAGGACGACTTTCGGAAGCCGCCCGCTCCCTCGCCGAACCTGAGCCTCAGCAAGCCGCTGCGCCCAGCACCGAGCCCACAGGAGGAGCAGGAGGTAGGCCGCTCCACGCTAATCATGGATAATCACGTTAAACCAGCTCAAATACAGGCTGTAAAAACGAGTCTGCTCTATATTGTACAGGAAACATTCATTTAGTTATACATTAAAACTGAATCAAAGCAGATATTAACTACTTTTACTTAACTTAATTTGTTTTGTAATATGTTGGTTGGTGCCACATAGTCTAAAATATCTGTTTAGTAAGAATTAGCAACATCTTTACGTGAGTGTAAAGATTGGAAAAAAGCATATGTCTTAGGGATGTACACATGTCTCAGGGATGTCCGATATTAACTTTTTGCCAATCTGATATGCCGATATTGTCCAAACACTTAATTTCTTATTCCGATATCAAACAATACCGATATAGTCCTGGTAATATTTATTGATTTTTCTTTACAAACCACTGTCTGAGTTGCTGGCACCAGCATTCTGCATACAATCCCCTGATTATTAAAATAGATTAGTTGAATTAGCTGGAATTCCGCCATCTAGTGACTTTCACCCAAACCTTGAGTTATTGGGTTTTCATTATCGGAGGAAAAATCTATAAGGATTCTTACAGATATTACATAATAATGCTAATATCGGGCGATAATATCGATTGGCTGATATTATCAAACATCCCTAATCTGTACTCATGAATACTTATATGCTTATAGTTTATTCGTAGTTTATTAAGCTACGACTTGACCATCCGGTTGTCTAACCCATACATTTTCTTGTTATGAGGCAAGAGTACTAACCACACATCCACAGTGTGGCTCAATGAGACTCTGACATTTTAGGGAAAACTTTCATTAGTTTAAAAGGTGAATTAACCCTCTGGAGGTTCACTCCTCTTCCACTTTTCTTCCTGGGTGACCGTGTACAAACACAAATACTTCCACTTTTCTTCCAGGGTGACCGTGTACACTGCAACACAAATTCCCCAGGGTCCCCAGACCATCATTTGAAAACCACTTTCATAAAGTATGTTATGCACACTGTTAAGTGTAACAGCAATTAAGAGTAAACAACTCATTCCCCCTGGGACAATTCACTGTTTACATTAGTGTGAGTCATGGTGTGAGTAGACAAAATGCACGGCAATCAACAAAAATGAAAACATTGTTCTAAAATCATAAGTGGATAAGTCGGCATGTTTGTCAACATTATTTGACACTTGACTTCATCGGTGAGCAACTAATGTGTCATCAGACACAGCAGCCTGCAGAAGGATCCAATCATGGCTCCGGCAGAATAATCCTATTACTTGTCCTTGTGCTCTTATTATAGTTCAGTTTCTAAGTCGTGTGTGAGACTTATTATTAACCAGCTGCCTCTGACTATAAGACAGGCTTCATCTCTCCATTGATTTAAATCTCTTGTAAAAACAAATAAAATTATTAAAATGTTTATGTTTTATGGTATTGTACAGCACTCTCCTTCAACTGTTTCAACTAATTAGCCTTTATATGTAAATTGGTTTCAAGCTCTTTGGCTCTAACTGTGTCTTTAGTGCCTCCTACTGATACTAAACAAATACATTTGTTTCTATAAATCTGTTTATATTTAGAGAGGGGAAATATGTCTGAGTTTCCATGAAACCGGTTTCATCACGGCGTATCCAAAATCTCATTGGGAATTAGAAACAATCTCATTTTTATAACAGCTTCAGAGGTCATGTACGTTCAGCGGCAGTTTCTGCCAGGTATATTATGGCAATACAATTTTTAATATTTTTTCCACTAAACTTTTTTTTTACATTCAGAGACAAGACAGACTTACCCTCATGTTGAGTATTTAATTTAGACCAGTAGTTATCAAACAGTATAAAACACTACTAAGGTAACTGATTTCTATGTGTATTCCAAATAGACGTGTCCTATAGTCTGTAAATGTTTGTATAATTCCAGCAGCTGTCAATCATATTCCCTGCTGTTTGCCAACTACAGTTTCCTGAGGTCATCTCTCTGAACGTTGGCGGCATGTACTTCACCACACGTCTGTCCACGCTGCGGCGATACGAGGACACCATGTTGGCCGCCATGTTCAGCGGGCGACACTACATCCCCCGTGATCCGGAGGGACGCTACTTCATTGATCGGGATGGAAAGTATTTTGGGTGAGCAGTGCAGTGCTGATAAAAAACGATGCATGTTTCAGAAAGGTGGGACTGTCTTAGAATTTGTTGTTAAGCTGCTGTGTAACTTTAACATTGATCTAAAACACTAACCAGAGGGAAGAGGAATTAAATATAAAGATACTTTATATCCAGGCGATAACATTTACCTCTCAGACAAAACACACTGGCTCGTTCTAAAGTCTAGCAGAAATAAAAAAATCATTATCCCCAGAGCTTTGTTGCTAAAAGGAAAAGCAATTTGCTTTAAAAATGAATGTGAAGAAAACCAGTAGTGTATTGTTGAACTTATGTAAGAGCTGCGATGGGCCAGGTCTGTTGTGCATGATTGCCCCAGAGTGTGTCTGTGTGAGAGGGTGTGTATTAAAGATTCAAACACAGCCAGTTAACACAGGGACTGATGAAAGATGTATAAGTATAAAAGCAATGAAAAATAAACCCTCAGAAGATTTTGGCTGACTGCAGCTGAACACACACTCCAAGAAGGCTTTTCATTTGGGATATTAATGGCAGTGGGATCTTTGTGAGGTTATTGTCTCACTGTAAAATAAATCTTCTTTCACGCACACTGCAGCAGATTTTTCTCCAGGAGATTTCTGTGTTTCTCTGCATTAATGTGGTCCTCCACGTTCAAACACCCCATAGTTTCCTGCCACGCAGAGGCTAGAGCAAAGTCTCACTTGTTGTATTGATTTTTCTTTTTCTTCAGTAACTTTACTACAGTGAGGTTTTTTAAAGGCTACACAAAATGCAAACTACCAAGGACAAAGAGTTGTTACTTTAATCTTGGTAAGACTGAAATCCTATGGAGGTCTTGATGAAATGTGGACCAAGTGACTTCAGTATTAAAAATAACTGTTAAGGTAAATAAGAGGAGCTTTATTTGAACTTGTAAGAAAGCTGTGTTACAGTAAGTGTGAGTCAAACTTCCTTGTCCTGAAAGGACAGACCTGGACCACCCTGACATTGCAACCACTATACGTTTGTCCACAGTTCCTCAGTGTTGCCCGGGGAATTTCAGTAAAAGATAAAGAGCCATAAATTTATTACAAATGAACTGAGAGAACATCTACAGAGCAGCTGTACTGAAAAACAACACAACGCTCACTGTTCAGTACTGAACATGTAGCTTACCATTTCTCCCCTGCAGAGGGAGCTATAATCGCTGTGTCACTAATATGTTATATTAATGAAATTTATTTCAGTTTAAAAATGTATTTTTTGTTAAGAAACTTATGTAGTTACACACTTCTCTTCTTTTTCAGCTGCCACCCTTCAGGCTCCTCTGCTAATCCAGCAGAAAATTCACAAAGAAATTTTCCTAAAAAACAGGGGCAGTGGACATGTAGTTTGTTAGAACTCTGCTGTGTGGTAGGGAAGCATTTCACTTTCGGTGAATCATCTATACATTTGACATCAGATAAAAAAAAAGTCTTGCGCTTTTCTTAAAGTTAATGTGTGAACTGATCTAATTTTAACTGGCAGTCTGGGCCCACTCTACACACTTGTACTCGGTGACAGATTTTATCGGTTCTTTACATAAAGTCTCCACATCTCTTGGCCAAGTATTTCTTTTTTCCTGGAACACTAGGCTGAAGCAGCGGCGACTTCCTTCGACAGGCGCTGCCTGCGAACACAGTTTTATGTGGGTGTGTTGTGCCTGTGCTGTTTTCCACCCAAAGGGACATCCTGAACTTCCTCAGAGAGGGCGAACTTCCCCACAGGAACCGGGTGAGAGCGGTGCACAGGGAAGCTCAGTACTACTCCATCGGCCCCCTGCTGGACAGCCTGGAGGACATTCAACCGCTGACAGGAGAGAAAGTACGACAGGCCTTCCTGGATCTGCTGCCCTATTACAAAGGTGAGTCCAGTGAGGGATCTGTCACGGCATCACCTGTTTCACTCAAGAAATTATGGATTCAGCTATTTTATATTTACAGTATAATTAAACCGTCAAAAACTCAAGTACATGGTATTATGATCTACGTTTTTATTTTGAAATTAAATTAAACTTTAAATGGAACTTAAAGAAAGACTTGGGATTTTTCTTTAGAATTTTAAATTCAAGTTGTTAGGGTTTTTTTTTAACTTTAGAATTCTAGCATGAAGATCAGAATTGAACCATTTATTAGTTCAGGTAATCCATCAAAGTTTTGATTTTTTCTTTATTCACCAGAAGTTTAGGTAAAGTTTTTTCAGAATTCTGAGAAAGAATCAAAATCAAGATTTAAATACAATTTTTTACTTTTTTTCTGGAAGCTTTATTAAATCATTTTTATATATTCTGACAAAAGTGTAATATATATAATTTTATTAATGTCATATGACTACACATTTTTTTACTGATTTTTTCTTTTTCTTTTTGGATTAATTTCTGCTTTTTTAGAGCTATTTCTATTTCTCATCTATCTCTCACCTGAGCCTCACAGTTCAAAGATTTCTGCATTACGACGAAATCCACACTGTAAAACGGCACATTCCTCACATAAATTGTTGGCCTGCTGAGTGTAAAACGCAGGACCAGTGCTGACTGCAGTGGTGTTTGCGTCCTCTCACACTTCCTGTGTGTGTTTCACAGAGCTGGAGGTGTAACAGTACATTGTGAACTTAATCCTCACAAATAAAATCTACTATGAATTTCCAACTGGCACTGCTACATGCTTTTCTATCTCTTTGTTTCAGACAATCTGGAGCGCATCGTAGAAATTGCCAAACTGAGAGCCATGCAGAAAAAGGCACGCTTCGCCAAACTTAAGATCTGCGTTTACAAGGAAGAGATGCCGATCACACCATACGAGCGTCCTCTCTTTAACTCTTTGAGATTCGAACGCTCAGACAGCGAGGCCAAACTCTTTGAGCATCACTGCGAGGTAGACGTTTCCTTCGGACCCTGGGAGGCAGTGGCCGATGTGTACGACCTCCTGCACTGCATCGTCAGTGACCTGGCCGAGCGTGGCATCGCCGCCGAGCAGCAGTGCATCGGTGTCTGTGACAAGCACCTTATCAATCATTACTACTGCAAGAGGCCTATCTATGAGTTTAAGATCACGTGGTGGTGAAGCTGCAGGCAGAAATACAGGCGTCTCCCTTTTCTGTCCCTAACTCTGGTTTTTATATAAAAGTTGCCACTATTTTTTACTAATGACCCTAAATTCTGACCCTTTAAATCATGAGCCGCTATATATTCTCTTGGCCTAAAATTTAATTTATTACAAAAGAAAAAAATAGTTTTATTAAGACCACCTAAATGCAACCGATATGCTTTATTACAATTTTTCTTTTCCTGATGAAGGACACATCGAGACTGCGTTTCTGTATTTTTATTTATTTGTTTAACATACATCCTAACTTTTTTTTAGGTGCACCAAAATTCAGGCTCATAACCGACACGTCAAACATTTTATTTGTTTGCATTTTAAAGCGTTAATCTGAATTTCAACTAACAAAATGATCGACTTCCTGCTCACATTTTTGTTTTCCTTCCGTCAGAACCTGGTTGGTCTCTGATCGAACCACACGTGCAGAACGAAGGCACGTCTTCTGCTTTCAATGTTTCTTTTTGAATTATGTTAGTGTGTGAATGAGATAAATATATTATTTCTTTCTATAGGAGGAAAATGCTCTCAGACTATTTTCCCTCCTTCATGTTGTGACTGTGCAGTAATTCTCCATTCACATATGCATCACAGATGATTTTCTGACGACAAGAGCAGGGATTTTAAGCCTGCTCTTCGAGTCTCATTAGGCCCGTAATAAGGGCTGGATGACGTGTTCTGGTTCTGTAGACTACAGTGTGAATATGTGTGTCTAACACAGTGACCACTGGGTGTCGTTATACATTTTAGTGCAGTACCTATGAAAAAAGCAACCGTACAAAGACTAAGATAATGCTGCTCATTAAAAACGCACTTTGCTTGAAAGGGGACCAGTTCATGTTGCATTACACTTACAACAATATTTTGAGCGTGTTAAAAAAGCAAACATGCCTTTATGGTCTTACCACATACTGTAGGTTGACTGAGCTCCATTTGGAAGAATGTCACATACTTTGGACCTTGTTTTGTTTAGTTTTCCGTTTCTTTCCTTTTTGCAATTATCACAAATGCCAACAGTGTAGTTGATGCTGCAAATGATGACTTTGCCTGTGTCTCCTGACCGATGTAGGAGGAGTTAAAACAGAATAGCTCAACTCAGCCACGATGCAGAGAAAGAAAAGTCTTTTTTGTGTAACATCCAGTCACACAGTGGAGCTTTTTTCTCTCTCCTAGGTTTATTCCTCACATATGCTTGTACTGAGTGAATGTGTTTTTCGACTCTACCATCTGTCGAGACATCGAACAGCACTGTGGCTGTGACTGTGAGTGCAGTTCAGTTTAGACACTTGGTAAACAGCCATTTAAATTCAGATCCTAATGTTAAAAATGTGTTTAGTTTGTGCAGGGCATCTGATAAATATGACATCTTACCTTCAGTGAAAGTGATTTTCTTTTCAGGTTTAATTTTTATCAGTCATACTGTAGCGATGCCCTTGACTGCATTCATCTGTGAACAATATTTTGGCTTTCAAACTACACGTTCGGAATTGAGACTTTTGTGAGTTTTGTAGTAAATGTTGGAAAAGTTGTTGTTAGAAATTGACGTGCAGACAAAGCACTTTGTGAAGATAGAGCTGGATTGTGAGATGTTTTTGTTTGAACAATCAGAATATATATTTTAAACATACAGCCCCGAGTGGATTGGGCTGGATTTAGAAAAGACATAAGTTGAGTGTTGTGCTTTTGTTGCACTGTCTCCAGCTTCCCGCAGTGACTCAGCTGTGAAGGGTTGAAGGCTGCAGGATAATGAATTTGTTCCACACTGATGTCGATGTGCAGGTGTTGTTGTGTCAGGGGAACTGAGAGGATCTCTTATCTAACAGCTTGTATGTCTTAAGTAACTTCGCCATTCACACTGAGTGAAATAGATGTTCCGTATTATTCTTAATGAAACCCGAGCACCTTGTGTTTGTCATTGTTTTGTATTTACCTCAGTCAGCTTTACTCATCACTCAAAAAAAAAACACTTTTGGGGCACTTTTGTATTATTATTTTTCTCCTTTGTTAGCTTCTAGGAAGCTATTGAGCTACAGTCGTCTAAAGGTTTGGTTTGTTTGTAGCAATGAGGCAAATTGTGATTTGTATAATTTATGTTTAAATTAAAAATCACTCTAAAACACTCAAGGGGTTAGTCATTCCTTAGTGAAAGTGCCTTACGAGCGAACGGCTGTTGTTCTTTTTGATCAGCCCTGAAAATTCAGCTTTGCTTTTTTTTTAGTTAAACTCAAGAAGATGGTTCACCAGGTGAGTTTACTGTGTTTATTTACATGTAAAAATTGTGCTTGCAACTCTCTCCAAAAATAAAGGCAAGAGGCAAGTAGGACTAAAAACGTTTCATTCAACAACATTCCACTTATTAAAAAATAATTTAAAAATATTAAATTATAATTTTTTTGGGGTGGGTTTTGTACTTTACTGTATCTTTTTTATGATTTATTTCTGACAAACAGGTGAGGACATTGAGCCACTGGTCTTTAATTTCAGTATCTGCAGCCACTCCATTAATGTGGACATGAAAGAGAAAGAGAAGAAACAGAGGGGCGAATGTCAGCACCATGGACAGCTCCATCCTGCAGCCCCTGGTGTGTATGGCTTTTTTTGTTTTGTCTGATGTAATCAGTCACTGGTGGTCGGGGATTTTCTGATTTAATCCAATATTATTGGTGTGGACTTTCCATTTATGGGATATCATTTTTGGCTTCATTTAAATGATGACATACATTACTGCCACCTACTGGTTCTGTTTACAGGTGGTCAACCACAAACCGCAAAGTGAAGACGAGTTGAATTAATGTCATAATAAATATAATTAAAATGATTTTAAAAATAACATGAAAACACAATATCAACAAATATTGTTGCGTCAAACCAACATTTCAGCATTAGCTCCTCCCTGTAACCAATACTTGCTTTACTTATAAGTTTTTTCTGATAAATTGTTTAGTAAAGTAAAGAAAACATGTTACAAAAGACAATTTGGAAAATTGTGGTCCAGTGTTCCATCTTTCCAGAGGCCCCTGGGGGGCCCCAGCGCCAGCTGCCCAATTTCTCCGGTTGCTTATCCAGCCTCGGTTATCATTACTAATTTCTCCGCCTCCTTTTTCCTCCTCAATGCCTCTCTCTCTTTCTCTCTCCCGGTCTCTGTCAGTGTCTCTCTACCAGCTGAGGGGTGGAGGCAGACGGCTGTTCTGTAGCGAGAAAGAGAGTGAGTATGGAGAAAAGGGGGGATTAGTGGCTTCTCGTCGGTCAGTTATCGCAGCGCGACTTGATAATCACCAACCTCAGCGGAAGATCATGGTTTTTTTTTCTTTCTTAAAGGGAACAAAGCGAGTTTAAAATGAGCCGGAGAGTGAGTCTCGATCAGCTGCAGCAGGTATGTCTTACACACACACACACACACAAACCACTCCACTCATCCTCGCAGCCTCCACTGCCTGATCCACGGTAAATGGCTTCATTTGTTTAATATGTGAGGGGGGGTCAGTGTGGTGGTGGGTGCAGAGTTACATAAGAGTGGAAGGAGAACCGGGATTTCTCCGGGAATCATGAGTGTCCATGTGTGTTTGGACTGATCACGGATGTTGATGTGGAGGGTGATGGCCGGTGTTTGCTGTTGCTGTTGCTGCTGTTGCTGCTGTGACGGTGAAGTAAAAAATCAGGCTGATGGAAGGAGCTGGAAGCTGCGGAGGGAACTGTTCCTGAGGCTGCTGCAGGCCTCACAGCAGCATCTCCACCACAGCACTTCCACAGCTGCTGCTGATGCTGCTGTAAGGATGGAAATTAGCCCACATCTCCGAGCTTTTATTACCATTATGTGGATCACCTTCATCTCCATTACAATAGAAATCTGCCTGTCTGATGGCCGGCTCTCTGCTTCCAGCAGATGCACCTGATCCCGGCAAATCCTTCAGCCCAGAGCTGATAATAGCAGATAAAAACCATGGTGTTATAGTGAAGGAGACCCACAACAACATTAAAATGACATGGATAGATACAGTAGATAGAGAAAAACAATAGTGTCAAAATGACTTTATTCAGGTGTGATGATTTTGCTCTACATTTATATAATGGGTGGACCTGATGTAAAATAACTGTTAAAGAAGTTTTAGTCCAGTCATAATTGAAACTATTCTAACACAGATAAGACACTATGAAGAGAAACAAGTGGAAAATGGATTGTTATTTATAGTCACAATTTATGGGCTTTCAGAATTTGTCTTTTGTTGCGTTGGTGATTTTTCTTTTTACATTTTAATTGACGTGATGTTGTAATGTGATTGGCCATCTTAACTGTCGCTGCCTACGACCTCAGGTTGGTCATTTACTCGTCATATCTGGGTCAAGTGGAATTGCGTTGATATTTTATTATTGATGTATTAATTTCATTCATACAGATCGTCTGCCTCGAGCTAAGACTGTTATTTAGACACACCTGAGAGATTAGTTTTTCTTCACAAGCCACACGCTGAGCCCAGCCGGTTTTTTATCTGATCCAAACTCTGATTAATGGGGCTGTGGTAACTGGATTTCATGTCATGCTAAATATAGCTGGTAGTGGCTCACATACATGCATTATTTACGCAACTACTCACCAAACCACATAATGGAAAAATCAATGCCATTAATCTGAATGCTGTGATGAGATCCAGACTGGTAATTAAAACAAGCAGTTCAAACAGGTTTTATTAGTAGGCTCGGATTTTGTTGAAGTCAGAGCAGGGTTTTTCACCGAATCTCTCAGAATGTAGTAATTGTTATGATCTTTATACTTTTTCTGCTGCCCTACAGATTCTTCTGTAACTGTAGTACTACATTGTCAGTGTAGTCGGCTGTAACTCTGTGGAAGCAGATACTCTGTGTGATCAATCTAGAAGTTAGTGAATATACTGGGGAAAAAAAGTTATTAATGAATATATAGTTCCTTATATGAAAAGAAAAAAATCCTGAAAATGACATTTACTTACATGAGAAGCTTAAACACTTTAAACTATTAAGAGAAATGGCAAAAAAAAAACAACTCTTGAAAATTGACCTTGGTGTTAAAGTATTAGAAGTATACATGTGCATGTATGTGTGTAAAGTATTTGCGTATAAACAATGTGCAGCTAACAATGATTCACTGTGAAGGGTCACAACATTTCCACTACAAGCCTGAATCATAGACCTTATGTAACAAAAGGATGGAGCGTTTCCATCTTTTTATCGCTGCGTCACCATATTTTTATAGACATATATATATAATTCCTAAATGATCGTCTTAAATATCTTAACCAACAAAAAGAAGGTAAAATGTAACCATTTTTCCCCTTTTTTAATTTTTTTTAACAAATTATGGGCCCGTTGTGGGGGTTATGGACTGAAGGTGGTCCGCAGGTCAGGAGTTTGAGATGGCCGATATTGACTAATGTTCTGTTCTTATATGTGTATATATATAGTAATTTGAGTGTACTGATCCTTTAAGGATAGTTGACTTGGGGGAAGAGAAATTCACAGATCAGTGATCATCCACTGAACACCATTTACCTCTGAGCTCAAAGAGATGGAGAAATCCTCTGTCGAGTGGAGAAAGTAATATTTTCCTGGTGCTGGTCTGTTGGTGTGACTAAAATAGAATTTGCCCTTTTGCAGCCACGGTTCAATTCTTTTCTTCACCACATCAGGAAATCCACCTGGTTAACAAACGCCCCCATGCAGCAGGTAATGAAAAACCGAAATAGAACCTGATTTTGACCAGTGACCACAGACACGATGTCTCCTGCTGACTGGGCACATCATTCAATCATGGTTCAACACTGATGATGTTCTATGGATGTCCACTGATTCAATCTGGTTCCATCAGAAATTCATTCAATTTCATGGCTGCGTTCTAATTCACAGAGGGAGCTATTTTAAGCACACCGTGTTTCCGGTGCCATTAATGTTTTCCATTAATTTATTTCATGCAGTTGTGATGAATGTAAAAGTATTTCAAAATGTGAACATACATTCTGCCAAAATGAAGTATTTTACCTCAAAAAATATCTGACCTAAACGGAATGATTTTGGGGAATTTAAAGTTGTTTTTTTTTGTGGTTTTTTTTTTTACCTAAGCTTCAGTTGAGCTCTCGCTTTGGCCTAGTTATTCCATTGTCTATTTTTGCGTTATCTTCAAGTCTAACCATGGCTAACTTATCAGAAAGGTCTTCTAGTGAATCCAACATCTCTTAGTCTTAGTTACCTTAATTATTATTTTTAGTTTTAGTGTTAGCTACTGTTGGTGTGTGTTACACTGGTGTTTTGCCCTTTCACTTGGAAATGCAACACTTGCTCGACAGCTTTGGAACAGGCTCATGCTCTAGTTGCTGTAGTTAAACAGAGTGAGAGTCAACATTAGCCAAAAACACGGGATGAAAGGCGCAGCGTTAGCCTGTTAAACAGTTACACAGTTAAAAGCCAGTGGTTTTCACTCTCCCCTCAGTGTCAGCACCACTTAAACACACAGGATTTCCAAAGGCCGTTTGATCATATTCCTGTATTCACAGACATCCATGTCTTGGAGGCAAAAATATCTGTGCTCAAAGATGAGTGACAGCTTAGAGCGTGGAGCAGATACAGTGCATTTCTCATCCTCAGGCCTTCTGAAAGGAGATGAAACAGACCAAC